AATTGATTATTGCTACAAAGTCAATTAATGATAATGCCGAATAAATTTAATATGAAATATAGTATTTTCTGTAAAAAAAAAAATTATTATTAAAGTCATATGATAAAAAAGGATATTTTCAATACGTATAAAGGTCATATGATAAAAATGTATATCAAAACGGCAAAAATTATGTATATTTCATTGAATTTTTAATTAGTACTGCGGATGTGACCTCTATTATAATTATCCGGGGTCCTACCCCAGTGGCACCGACAAAAATTTCTCGATCACGTGACCAATTTTATCGATCATTCCCAAAAATGGAGGTCGTCTAAAGCCAGGTTCGATCACGTGACTTGTAAACATTTATTTTTTACAAATAAAACTTTTCGCCAATATATAAAACTTTCAAGTTACATATAATATATGTATTTTAGCCTGCTGTGCAAGTTTACTTAGTATAAAAAAGCTGATTTTTAACACCGTTTTTGACTTATTTGAATTTTTTCATTTTCATCATCCATTTTTGGATATGATCAGCAAAGATTATTCATTCATATGTAAAGTCAAAAACAGTGTTAAAAATCAGCTTTTTTATACTAAGTAAACTTGTAAAGCATGACAAAATACACTTATTCTATAACTTTTATACTTACATTACTCTTAGTTCATAAAAAAATGGCTTATTTATAAAATGTCAAGTCACATGATCAAACCTGGCTTTAGACGACCCCCAAAAATGGTAAGCAAATTTAATGAATAAATAAAAAATAAGAATAAAACACAATATAAATGCCACACATTTTTTAAACTTATATGGTGTGTATTTTTGAATGCTCTACAAATTTACCTAAACAAGAAAAATACGTTTTTAATATAAATTTTGACTTTTTATATGATAATTCGTAAATAATTAATTTTACAAAAATCTGTATTCAAAACCTACCTTATTGCCTAAGTAAACTTGCAGAGCAAGCAAATTTAGATATAATATATCAATTTTAAAATCAGAAAATTTCGTTAAATCTGCTTACCATTTTTGGAAATGATCAACAAAATTTTTCACGTGATCACAAAATTTTTGTCGGTATCACTGGGATAGTTATATTACATAAACAAACTGCACCACAGTTCTTTTTTTTTGGGTAACGCTTAAAGTTGCCTGCCTAAACCTCTCCAAAATTCTATGATTAGTTTCTCCAATATTTTACTATAGTTTTATTATAGTTTTGGCAAGGTTTTTGCAGTTTCAGCATTTATAATAAGTTTTATCAGATTTCGCTTTTCTCCAGAGTTTCACCACCTTTTTAATAAGACTTTTATATAGTTTTGGTAAAGTTTCACCATTTTGGCATTTCTCCAACTTGCCAAAACCTCCTAGTTTCTCCAGCAACTTTAATAACGCTATCGGTTAAGTTATTTTCAGATAGGTCTCTTCAAATCATGAGATGACTAGCTAATCAAATTTTGCCTTATCCTATACTCAAAATTAGTAATGTGTACCATCACAATGATGTCATAGATGTTATATAAATATTTTCTGTATTACATTATGTTACACCAAAAATATGTTTCATATCTAGTTGAATAATATAAATACTACTGAAGAGGTAAGTCACTGCCTGACTGCCTGTCTTTGTCTTTTTTTTTTTTAACTTGAAAAGCATTACTTTAGTTATGGACATACTTGAAAAAACTTTCGAAGACAAGCAAAAATTCAAAAATTTTATACAAGACGTTCTTAAATATTATGCTGTATTTTAAGCAAGTGTAGCATTAATATTTGTATGATATTCTAGGGATCATCAACAAAGAATTCTAAGATGTCAGGACGGGAGTCCTCAATGTCTGAAAATGAACATAGACGGAGCGATGATCCCAGTTGCCACTATATGGGATGCTCTTGCTCTCTTCTACACAATCAACATTGCCAAACCTTCAAAGTCTTTGATTTTTCTCGATCAGCAGGAGAAATGGTTATTTCAACATTTAAACCAGTTGGTGAAGTGGATATTGATTTTAGAGCCAACAGCTCAGAATCCGCCCCAGAACCTGCAAATCAACGACAAAACATGGCTGACAATAATAAATGTGGCATGAAAATCAAAGTGCCAGAAAATCATAAGGATCTCGTTCAGAGTGTCGCTAATAGGGAAGGTGAATACCAAAAGACAAATATTAAATATGCGTCAGGAAATCGATTTAATACACCATCATCTCTTTCCTTGGGATGCGAGTGGGAATTTGGAAGAGAATCAAGAGCCCTGGCAGTATGGGAATTGTGCCAAAATGAACATATTTTTCCATCTAGCATTACAGAGACGCGAGCTACCAATCAGAACTTGTGCAATAACAATATTGACATAAAAGGTGAAAGCTCCTTGCTTGAATTGCAGAATGACCATGAAATACAGCACACCCAGGATCTGCCCTCACTTCTTAGAGTATTGAAGAATAAACAACCATATCGCGATGAGTCAAACAAAAATGTCTTGGCTGAAGTTGAGATTCAACTCATCACTGATATGTATGGCATTACTGATTTTTGTCTTGTGCTTGCATGTGAGGATTCAGTCTTTTGGCTAGAAGACTTTAGTAGTGGTGCCATTTATTTTTGGTCTCGCATAGATGATACCATGATACGCGGAGGAGATAATTTGGAAGAAGCTTTAATAAATTATCTTTATCATCAAGATAATCTTTATTATGTCGATGAGAATACTTTCAAGTTGATACCAATACATGCATTTGATAAAGAAGCTGAGGAATGGGCAAAATCACCCGAGGCTTATCTTGATATTGATGTAATTAAGGCATCACTAAAGCATGAATTGAATTCAATAGGTGAAAAAAAGAAGCACCAAAAAAAACAAAAAAAGAAAAAGAGTAAAAAGAAGCATTAACATGAAAATACTGTTTGTTTAATTTTTAACACTTATTCTACAATTAATCCAATATATTCATGTATCGCATCTTATCATTTGTAGAGTAGGCTGTATGATTTGCTTTATTGGTAATTTGTATAAAAGTAATAATGTACAATAAGTATTTGAAAAATAATAAAAACGAATGCAAATTTAACTGCAAATTTATTATAATTTGCCTTTGCAATTAAGAAAGGATAAGCAAAATATATGATGCTATCAAAGAGGGAGGGAGTATGCGGATCCTAGGCTGTTTAATGTGAGTCCCAGCATCGAGTTATTTCTTTGCTTTCTCTTTTTATATACACACACACGTGTTAAAAAATTCAAAGTGAAATCTTTATTATATTTTTTGTAAAGCAATACATGAGAAAGGATTGGCTGGCCAAGTAAAAAATGAAAGTAAAAAATGATAGAGTAGCGGGAAAGGCATAAAAGAACATGCCTACTTATTAAGCCTGCCGAGCCCAACCCATATATTGGCAGTTCCTTCCCCGCTACTCAGTATTATTATCTAAACTGCTAATATTTTCATAATAAAAACTTTTTATAGTAGCCCTCCAATCTTTTTCCCCGTAAGTTGACGAATTTCACGAGCTACAGTTTCACACATATAGTCAACAGAATCAGTGAATCACTACCCCTAAGTGAATTAAAAATTTGCTTAAAACGGATAACATTTTCAAAAAAAGATGAATTGCTTCCGGAATAAGAGCTCGCATGTGATTGGCTTGAAACTTCGGAATTGTTGGCCACACTGTGTTGATCAGATTCATCAGATGGGATAGAGAACGGAAGAGTTCTTTTGAGCAAATATGCTATCAACATTATGTCGAACCATATTATTTATAAGAACTAATCATTGATTGTGGTAAACTCAGATGAAATTCTAGTAAAATTGCTTTGATGTTCTCGTAGTCATGCTACTAATCATTGATCTCATTTTCTGCGCCTCCGCAGAGTAACCAGCTTCACGCGTATTAATTTTAGCAATTTCTGCGGTAAGTTTATTATTAAGTTCGCTGCCGAGCTCCGCAGTAAAAGAAGCATTAATTTCGGATAAACATTCGGGAAATTCATTGGCGATCTTAGTGCCACGTGCAGAGAGTTCATCCGTGATTTTAATATTAATTTCATTCTTGGTGACCTCCGCAGTAATACTGTAGACGTATTAATTTTTATATCACAAGCGGAGAGTTCATCGGAGATTTTTTGTTTGAGAATCATCCACACAGTAACGATCCCCCCAAAATAACGAACGAAAAAACAGCGGGTAAGGCCCAAAATGGCATACTTCCCGAAGAGTTGAGTGATGTGGGATCTGTTAAACTGGACATGCTTAGATATATTGATGCGTAGTCTGGTGAATCAAATCAGAGTTTTTTTTAGATATTAACACTTGAATTTTTAATAGCAATAGTTATCTTGCGTAAATGCGCTGGGAGAAAGGTTTATCGGGTTTAACTGAATTTTGATTGGACAGAAATCAATTATTTTGGCGTCTCAACTCAAATTTCGCGATATGCTTTATTTTTAGTGTATAAAGAAATTTTATTTTACTTTTTACTTGACACACTATATAATTTTCTAATAAAATTTTTTTAAGAATATTTAGTCATTATACATGTATGCGCCAAAATCTGAACTATTTTTCATAATATCTCTTGCTTCTTCTAATGACAATTTTCCATTAAAATCCTGAATTATTAGCCGTATAATTGCTTCCGGAACTAGTACTTCATGCAAATAATCAACTATCTTTAGGGGCTTGCTTTTTTCAAATCAGTCAAAGGGACCTTTTAGTTTAAATACAGAACAGGAGAGTGCAAAATTAATAATCAAATCATTAAAAAACACCGTTAAAATTTTCAAATAAAATTTAATTAAACCAATTAGACAATGTTTAAAGCATTTGTTTTTAAAAATAATTTTGTTAAATTACTGCAATGGCTATTTCACCTTTTGGACCGTAATATCCAGGCTATAAAATTAATCAATTCATCGCTTCGTCCCATTAATATCATAGGTGTACTTGCTGTCCAAGTTCATTATAAATGGATAATGCTAATTCACGAAACCAACTTCCTGATTTAGAATTAATAGATCATCTTTGATATTATCAATCCGATCTGATAGATTTTCGAAATTTATTTTTGTGAGATAGCCTGCCTTTATACCTAGTGGAACAATTTTGAGTTCTGCGTGATGCATAAAACAGAAATCTCCACGATCGGTTTCCAGTATTTTCTCTAAAAAAGATAACCAAATATTTGATTTAATTAGAAAATACAAATAAATAAACAATATGAAGATTATTTATACTTTTTCTCCGTAATGTCTTCAAATATTCAAGTAACTTTTTTGGTAGAGGATTAGGTAAAGGTTGATCACAAAAAAGAAATGGTAATTCATCTTGTATAAAAAATAGCGTTAAATATACTTGAATTTTCAACTAATTTTTATAATTAAATTAAAATTTGTACCTTTTTTGTACGTCCATCATCTATATCAGTCCATTAATTCTGTTACAGAGATTTGTGGTAAATTCTGAAATGCTCGACGTATTGGGCTAGGTGCATTAAATGTATTTTCATTATTTCCCTGCTGATAACTTGTTGTATTCTCTTTCTCTTGTATTGATAAGCCACTACTATCAGTAATTGACACTTTTTGTTTTTTATTTAAAGTATTTGTTGATTTTTGTTTTTTTCTAAAAAAAAATTTCTTAAATGAACATAAATAAATTATACTAGTAATAATGATAATTAATAAATTGAAAATATAAATAAATACCTTTTCTTTTTGAATTATTATTTTTGGAGGGATTATTAATTATGTTTTTTAACGTGTTGATACTTTTTGTTTGATTATGAATTATCTTCAATTATTTTCCAATAATGTATTGATGATTCTGGATATTTTTTTACCAAACTTTTTATTTCATATAAAGTTTTGGATAACAAATATTCATAATCTTCAGAAATTTCCACTTCAGAATTATTAAAATCATTTATTGCTGGATTACCATTACAAAATGAATTAAGACAAGATTATTTGGATCCTTCGCCATCGTTTATAAAATCATGAATCTGGCAATCTAGTTAAATTAAGTTGTGACACTGTTGTGACGCTAATCGAAAAGGTTGTATGCTTACACGAACACAAAAATAATTGATGATGATTATCATATTGAACTTTTCTTCCAGATTCATATTCGATGAATATGAAAAAATTGGCCATTTTGACTTCTAATAAAATATAAAGGATTTAATTATATAAATTATATATTACTTTACATTTTAATTTATAGAAATGATGATAAATAAATAGTAATTTAAAATACCTTAACTCAACTAATTCAACACAAGAATAAACAGTAGATTGTAATAACTGTTCTTGTGTTAATTTTAATGCATAATTCGTCAATACTTCCGCTACCTGATATTTGTACGGACTCAATGTTTTTAATATAACATTTAAATGATTCTGACAATATTTAACTAATTGTAAATCAGAATTACGTTGCTCCAATGCTGATTCAAAGGCTTTTAGAAAATCTAAAAGTGAATTAGTAGAATCCATATAACCCTTCATGAGGACTCTCCACGTTGTGTACTGGTCATATCTACTAAAAATATATCTCTATTATAGCGGGACGCCCATTTTTCTTCTTTAAGTTGTTGCCATTTAATCATAAAATTATCAACTTTATATTCTTTTATACACTCATAAAAGGCTTTTGTGAAATCATGCCAATGCGCTCCTAATGTACCACTTAAATTTTTAATCACATTTTTTCGAAGATACCACATCATAATACATGTTTACTATTACCAAAATTATTTTGTATTGCCTGAGAAATTGCTTTAACCTCATCGGTAAGTATTACTTTTGGTGGATGATTATTAACCATTTTAAGAAATAATTTAAATGTCCATGTGAAACTATCAATTGTTTCTTGGCACATTAACGTTCCAGCAAAGCATATACTTTGCCCAAAATTGTTTACTCCCGTGAAGATTCCAAATGGCATATTGAATCGATTAACCTTGTATGTATTATCGAAAACAACATCTAAAAATCTACAATATTGTTTTTGTTCAGGATACATCCATATTACTTGAAGTTCATTTGTACTTTCATCAATTCTCGTTTCATATTCAAATCCATCTATCTCCCTTTTGAGCTGTTTAAAGTATTGATAAATTCATTTGCTTCAAAGAAACGCTGTTGTAATTTACCATCTAATTTATATACAAAATTATAAATGTCATTATAAATCCATGACTCTAATCCTTGGTATTCTTGTTTAAGGATAGATCTAATTGTTGGGACGCTACAACTGGCATGATGATAAATTTCAATACGATCCTTAATATCCTGTGGAATTATCCTTTCGTTATGAAGAAATTTTTTGTGCTCAGGATTAACCATTTCATGACTATGATCTAATTTCATGGCCAAAATATGCCAAACGCCAGTTTGTGAGTTGAGCGACGCTCTAATAAGGAAAGGACAATCACATCTCTGAGATTGCCGATCTCTTGAATTAATATTCTCATCTTTTTGTCTGGCAATACCCGCACGCGAGCATACAATTGTTCTTTTTCTAATATTGTTCTCTTTACTTTTCTTTTCGTATTTGAAAATTATAAAAGCTTGCATATTCTTGAACTTTTATCATAAAATCATCATGGTATTTCTGAAATATTTTCAGCCATAGTACGATATCTAATAAAAACAAAATAAAAAAATTAATTATAGAACAGTAGATTTTTTACCCCAAAAATTTTTTTACTCACTGTAAAATATTTGTTTTAAGCTTTTAAGCTTTTAACGATACATTACATAAAGGTGAAAAAAAAGATTTTGTTTATTATACAACGCGTAGTATATTTATCTGTATGCCGGCTATTTATGTGTAACTAGGGGGCTACACCCCTGGTGGATGATAAGGATGGTCGACGCGCCAAAGCCCTCTCTTTCATATAATAAATTATGTCAGAGTCATTCAAACGGTACATTTCAATATCAACTATTTGTCTCGTTTAACAAATTTTAAATCTCAATTTAGAAAAAATAATAAAAAAAATTTCTATTATTTAGCATGAATCCAAATATCTTAATAACAGGTACTCCAGGGACCGGTAAATCAACGTTATCAGAATTAGTATTAGAGTCAACAGGTCTAAACTACATAAACGTAAATGAAATAGTGAAAGAGAAAGGTTTACATGAAGGTTTCGATCAGGAATTCCAAAGCTATATTCTGGACGACGATAAGGTAATAAATATCTCACAAATTTTTATATACGTATTTATTCCTTTTACTTATAATTTTGTTTGCAGGTTGTAGATGAATTAGAAGATATAGTATCAAAAGGTGGAAATATAGTTGATTATCATTCTTGTGATCTATTTCCCGAACGTTGGTTTGATTTAGTCTTGGTATTGAGAACCGATATCACTATATTATACGATCGTTTGGAAAAAAGGTTTGTAATATTTAGCTTGAAATATATATATATATATATATTTTTTGTTTATATATTAAATAGTTTATATTTATTTATAGAGGATATCCACAAAAGAAAATCACAGAAAATATTGATTGTGAAATTTTTCAAGTGATATTAGAAGAAGCAAAAGAATCTTACGCTAATGAAATTGTAATAGAACTACAAAGTAATACAATACAAGATATGGAAAGTAACGCGTCAAGGATTGAACAATGGGTTTATAATTTTAAAACTCAAAAAAATAAGCATTAATAGTGTTTGAATAACTTATTTATTTGTGATTTATATCTAATAAATAATAATGCAGCCTAAAATTTTAAATTATGTTTATTGTTCTAAGTAATGAGCACTAAAGTGGTTCTATACCAAAAAAAAAAAACTTTGCAAATTTATCTATCATTTTATAATTGTGTTTGTGTTTCTCTTAACAATCCATACCATCCCCAAAATGCCCACCATAATGTTTGTACATTTGTCCATACAGCTAAATTTCCATATTGATTTGCCAATCTTATCAAAGATGATCCCCTCCATAACCAAAGTGCAAACCCCAAAATCCAATATCTTCTCTTCCATTTTCTCTCTCCCGTAATTATCATAAACCAGATTATAACTGCTCCAACTGACCAAACTAACTGATCTATTAATGCATATCGCCATGTGTCAAATATCGGGAGCCATCGAGAATTAAGTTGAATTCCGAACAACCAAAATAGTCCAACTCCATCATCTCCTTCAGTTGATATCATATTTCCCATAAACCATGGAAGTGTAATTGATGATAGAAGATAGAAATAGAGCGTGTAAAAGAAAATAGGCTGTGATGCTAAAAGAAATGTCTTTCTAAAATAAGATTGAACAAAAGTTTTCGGTGAATTATGGAATGATACAAGAGCTAATGGATGACGCGGGTGGAATGTAACATAGAGTTTTGTAAAAAGCATGTTTAAAGTCGTAAATAGATGTCCAAAAATATACGTAGTTCGAATCTATAAAGTGAGAACCTTGAAATAAATAATCGCATAAATCGAAAATATTTAATTAATTTAATTTAATTTAGAACTTACCACTAAAGCCCAATCTAGACCGATCAAAAATTCACTTATACCACCTCGCATATCACTTCTTTCTCCATCAACGCGAAATATCACTTTACTTTTTCCTTTTTGCCCCATTATATCACGTGCTTCTACAACAATATAATGTTCTTTTCTATCATCAAATTGCTTAGGATTCCATGATGCCACCCAAAGTGGAATATAGTCTTCTTTGTCTTCCTTTGAATTGCCTCTGTAAATAATCTGCTCACTATGCTTTATTCCATCCAAAAATATTTCAACCTCCTCGATATCATGATCTGACCATATTAATAATCTTATATGCGAACTTTCTTTAATTCTATGCACGGGTTCATGGTATTTCATGAAATATCTTGAATCTTTTGGATTTGTTATTAAGATTACTGGAGGAAAAGCTATTTTTTCCGGCAGTATCGAAAATCCTGGCGCAGGTGGTGGTGGTGTCTTCAAGGGAATTTCATGTAATGGTAATTCCACATCCGTAAAACTTACAAGATCGTGATCAATTGCAAGAATACGATAAATAGCATTAACTTTCATGTCTGCTAATTCCAACTCTAAATAATGAGTTGGTTGATATGTTTGTAGTTGATCTCCCAAACCTATATAAATAACAAGTACGATAAGAATTTTAATCGAATAAATGTTAAACGACTCTACATTGCTTACCCCAAGCTAATTTATGTAAATGGCCGCACATATAGACACTAATATATCTTGAAATATCGCTAAATGTTTCGCCTTTTGAAGTTTTTCCAAATAATGTTGTTGCCGTTGGATAATGTGCAAGCTAATGAAAAAAATTTTTTTTTCCATAAATATAAAATACATTAAAGCAGATTACCCTTATAATTACTTACAAGGAATGTGTGATTTGAAAACAATGACGAGTTAGATAACTTATTAGCTAGTCGATCCATATCATCTGTCTCATAATAACCAAAAAAATTAAAGGGTCGAGCTACTCCCGCTTTAGGACTTTAATAGCAACTAATTAATTAAATGTTAAATGCAAATACAACAAACTCTTCATTAAGAAGTACTTACCAAGCATCAATTCCAACAAATCTATAACGACCAAAATCCTTTTCTACTATAAAATCGAATCCTTCTCGCTTTCCTACACCATATTTTTTATACATGTTTTGTTCACTTTCCCACGATCCTACGTTGAAACAATCATGATTTCCACGCAGATCGTGCCAAAATCTTGGCCGATTAAGAACACCTGATTCCTATATAATTTTTGTTAGATTCTGATAGATCAACAAAGCTAGTTAAATTAGGGTTAATTACCTGTAATGCGGTCTGATATGTTACCCATTCGTCAACGAATTGTTGTGAAGTTACAAAATGTTCATCTTTGGCGTCAGTCAAATCGCCAGTGACCAAAACGAATGCTGGCGACTTAATCACAGGGAGAACTGTCGCAAGGAAATGTAAAAAGTGCGAAGTACCGCCAGTTTTGTGAAATTTCGATATATGCAAGTCTGTAATCTAAATAAGGGTTAATTTGTAAAAATTTCAATAAAAAAGCCGTGTCATTAAAGAAATGGAAAATTTTCAAAAATTCACCTGCATAAAATAAAACAGATTATTTTTACTGTCGCTTATGGTGATATTATCAAACCTCTGTAAAACCGGATCAGTGCTTGTCAAAGGTGAAGTATGTAATACATCTTGAACTTGTTTTTCACCTTTCACGAAAAGTGAAGATGTTGCTTTTTTATGTAAGTAATATGCGCGAAACCAACAGAATAATGTTAAAGGTATCAATAAAATCGGTAAAATAATTCTGCGCATTCTTTTTCGGTTGGGGACAAACTTATTCTTGCCCCCTCAATTTTTAGTTTAGCGAGCTTTTTATATAATTCATTCAGTATTGTGATTAAAATTCAGAAAATAATTTTTTTTTACCTGGTCAAGTGATACAAATTAGTGGACAACACTTTTCCGCATAAAGAGTTAAATAATGGGAATATTTCTAGATTTGATAGAAGCTATACCTTAAAGGAGAACAAATTCGCGTGTCATGTGTAAGTTTTGTGAACATCCGTAGATTTCATTTTGGTGTTGCCATTTTAAACTTTAATGAGTCAGGCTAGAGAATATTCCAATCGAAATTCTTTGGCCAGCAAAAAAAAAGATTGGTCCTCTTCATAATCAACAAAAGGTGAGATCGTCACCAATCAAAATGCTTTCAACTTTTTTTTTTTGCAAGACTCGCGATCACGTGATCGAATCAAGTTATTAAAAAGTGGCGGCGTTTCCAAATTTCTTAGTATTTTCAATTTTAAAGATGTCAGAAGCTGAGACCGACAATCTTGTTGCAACTTCAAACTCACTGTAAGTTCTACTATCCTAACTTCTTTTACCTTATTTATTTTTTTAATCAAATTTTATTTTGAAAAAGAAATACACCTCGTACACAGCATTCCCTATCAAGAAAAGAAATTGTTCATGGAATAGCAAATAGAATTATATATTCAAGGTTTTATACCTGGTTGTATTTAGGAATGGTTTTTTTGAGCGTGTTTTCTATCATTCTGGTTGGTTTATTTTATTTTATTTATGTTTGTTATATAATATCATATATTCATTCAAACTTTCCGATCCGATTTTTTAATAAAGTCCTTAACAAATGAATGGTATGTTTATACTTAATTAGATTTATAAAGAAATCGTTATTGTCTATTAATTTTTGTTTCTTTTATAAATAGTCAAACAACAGGCTTTCTCATTCTTGAAGTTATAATTAACACAGTAATGATAGCTGAAGTTATAACACGATTCTTAGCATTAGGAAAGGTTTGTAAATTACATCTTTCTTTTAATATTATAGCGACAATTTCTAAGTAATGGTCTTTTTTGTAGTTATTCTGGAAGTCTATATTTAATACAATCGATATAATTCTTGTAATTTTATGTATAACTACATTACTATTTATTATTGATGGCGGATGTTCTCATAAAGGTGAAGAAGTATTTGATTTAGTTTTATTAGTTTTGAGAAATATTATACAAATTGGAAGATTATTAGTAGTGCTAAGAAAGTAAGCTAAGTTACTTTGTTTTATTTATTTCTGGAAAATAGAAATATTTAATAATTCTTTCTTTATTTAAAATAGAAACAAGAGGAATATAAAGGCTCGTAATGCGACAGTAGATTTCAATAATATTAGAGATTCAAGTGCCTCAGTGGATATTGATTCGGCGGACCATGGAGTATATTTTTTGAATGTTGAAGATGAAGATGACACGTTTTGATTGCATAAAAAAGATTTTTACTGTCTACTTCATTTGTATTATTTGTTCTTTTTTCAATTGTTGACATTTTCCTCATTTTATAATATTTTCTTTTTTATAAAAACAAATAAACATTATAATATTTAATAGATTTTATAGATTAAGACCAACCCATATAATTCCATAAAGATTGTTTTAATTTTTGGTAATCTAAATTTTTTCCAATGATAACTATCTTGTCATCAATTGTTTCATTACTAGACGATGAAGGAGCTTGTTGTAAATCATATAATTCTTGAACTCCCTGAATTACAATTCGTGAATCTGGATTTGAAATTGGAGTTAGGATACCTTTAAGTCTAAGAATCGTAATATTATCAGAGGAAGTAATTGGAATAGTTTTCTCCCATAATATCCATTGTATCCAACGTTCAAATTTTGGTATATCAATAGTTTTTACAGGAAACTCTGATAAACATATGGTTCTTACTTCCTTTAATTTATTTTTAAAAAGACTCAATGTAAGAGATTACAGAAACATATTTAATTTTAAAGCAAAAGTGACAAACCTTTTCTATATGATGATGAGATTGTGTTTCCGATCCCAAGACATTTGGTTCTGAATTATTTAGTGTTAGAACTTGTTTAAAATCGTAAGCGTGAATGTCTAATATGAAATTTAATGGAACTCTACGTAAGTAACAAAACAATTAGTAATTGGAATAATATATGTGCACGACTTTATGACAAGCACCTTGATTTTTCTGTTCTTAATATATCTGCGGCTGAATTAATTAATCTATTAAAGCAATGTGATACTTGTTAGTAAAATTCATCTTTAATATGTAAAGAGTTAACTGCCATATTTACCTTATTTGTGCTTGTACAGTGTTTAATGTTGAAGGTGTGACTAGATCCATTTTATTTATTATTATTCTATCTGCTATTGCTATCTGTCTTTTAAAAATATATTTCGGTGTTAAATTACATACAAAGCTACTATCATTTTATCACTTATCGCATTTAACACTTATTTACCTTACTGCTTCGTTAATTGGTTCATCTTCCTTTTCTTCTAATAAATACTGATAAAAAGAATAAAAAGAACATAAATATATATATATATTCTTTACAAAATACATTCATAACTTACTTGTTGAATATACTTTGCATCCACTAATGTTACAATACCATCCAAATATATATCGCCGCCTAAATCATCATCTAACCAAAACATTGAGGCTATTGGACCTGGATCTGCTAATCCTGTTGTTTCCAATAAAATATAATCAAATTTTCCTTTCTTTTGCATTAAATTTTCAATAGCCTTAACTCCATTATCTCTATTTATAGAATTAAAATTTTATTATAAAAGAACTATTATAGATTGAGTTAATAAAATTTTTGATCAATCAACTTACTTAACAGAACAGCACAAACAACCATTTTTTAATTCTAACCATTCTTCAAATAAATCTCCATCTTGACTTATTGATAATGATTTTTCTATTCCACTACCTTATGAAAAATATATAAGAATATATAATTACAAAATGAATAAAGACTAATACTAACTATAAAAAAATAATATACTTACTTTCTCCGAATTCATTTAATATTACTGCGATCTTTTTACCATGTTGCTCCGTCAAAATGTAATTGAGTAAAGTTGTTTTACCCGACCCAAGGAAACCAGTAACTATTGTTATTGGAACTTTAGAACCGACATTTCCTTCGATATTTAATTTTTCATTTTCTTGAACAGGATTGCTTCTTTAGATCAAAAGTTAGTTTTAATAAAAAATAGAATAAAATAAAGCTACAAACATACACGCTACTTGAATCTGGAATTACTTCTACTAGCTCTGGAATTTCAGAGTCAGCCATTTAAAATATTTAGCCAGTTTTCAAAAAAAAAAAAAGGCCAGATTCTCGGATTTATAAGATGGATCGTCACAAATTTCACATCAGAAACATCAGAAAAAATTAGTTTCCATATTTTTTAACAATGTCAAAGACAATTCCAAAATTTGAGGTATGTAAAACTTTCTCATTGATAAAAAAAAATAAAATAATCTGTCATTAATTATTATTATTTTTTTTTTTTGATAAAAGGTGTGTATCGACTCGGTTCAATCCGCAGTAAATGCAGGTACATTATTTCGTAATTTTTTATTTTGATAAGTTACTTTGACATTTACAAGCTATCATTCAAAGAAAACGGTAAAGCATCTCGTGTAGAATTATGCAGCAATCTTGTAGAAGGTGGAACTACACCAAGCTCAGGTATCATCCAAATTGTATTTTTCATCCTTTATCATTTACGCTTATTTCATATTTTATTTAACGTAGGAATGATCGCCGCAATTCTCGAACGAATAAAAATTCCAGTCATGGTAAAGAAAACACGCATTTATTCCTTGTTTTTGTAAATTGAAACTCAAATATGGAAATTTATTTCTTGTAGGTTATGATAAGACCAAGGTTTGTTTCATCCAAAATTTTAAAATTTAAAATTTCAGATGAGACATTTAACTTCTAACCGATAATTTTAGAGGCGGCGATTTCTGTTATAGTGATGACGAATTTAAAGTTATGTGCCTAGACATCCAACACGCAAAATTGCTTGGTGCACACGGCGTCGTTTTTGGTATCTTGAAACCTGATGGGAATGTGGATATTGATAGAGTTTCAAAGTAAAAAATAATACATATATTTGTTTAAAAATTATGGCATTGATTTGATTATATCCTTTTAGGTTAGTCGACTTTGCGAAACCCCTGAAAGGTCGGTTAATTGATATAAATCTGCTTACAATTTCTCACGATCTTGTGATAACAGATATTCTTGTTTCCCACCATAAAAGTAACATTCCATAGAGCATTTGACATGACTAATAACCCATTCAAGGCCCTTGAAGACATTATTTCAATTGGAGGCATTCAGAGGATTTTAACAAGGTAATGATGAAACTGTTTCCAAATATTTATTTGTTAATAATTTCTAAAACAGCATGAAAACATTTACAAGTGGACATGATAGTACTGTTCTGGAAGGTTTAGATACGATTATTAAATTAGTCAAACAAGCTAACGATCGTATTGTGATAATGGCAGGTGGTGGTAAGTTCATTTTTCTGTATAAAAATCTTGGCGTTCAATAACAGATTTCTTGAAATTTTCAGGTATTCGAGAGTCGAATATAGAAAGGATTTTATCTGCTATTGAGTTAAAAGAAATTCACGTAGCAGCAAGTACTACTATCCCTTCTGCCATGGAATATAAAATTTCGACTATACATATGGGTAGAGCTTATTATAATAGCGAATATATGATAAACGTTGTAAGTGAAGAGAGACTTAAAGAGATGATTTCTGCATCTGACAGAGAATCCTCCAAGTAAACTTCTGCGGGAATCCTTTTTTTTTTACGAATGATTGTATAACCCTTGTCACTAATAAAACATAATAAATCTTATTCGGACTTGCTGAATAATCTTGTTCTAATTTGGATTTTGCCGCCGATCTATAATTAGTAGATTTGCTATGGCAAATATGGATGGTATTTTCAAGAATAGCAGACACCGTAGATTAGATGAAATCGAAAGAGTAAACAATCAGATGTCATTTTGCCAATTTAGCAGAATAATATAGGGTAATCCGTTTAAAGATTGAGAGATCCGGATATTGCTATTTAGATAATGAGTTATCCGAATAAATCACTCTAGGATAATCCGAATTATAGCCTCATTGCTTAGGCTACATTAAAAGTGTATAAAGTGCTTGCAAATTGTGTGTTTTACGTCTTTATGTGTTTAATATCATTATAACACAGATATTAGTTAAAATTATGTTGCTTTCTGCTTATAAAGCATCTAAACTTTAGGCGTTTCAGCTAGTACACTTCGGCGTTAGAACAGGGAGAGTAAAATACAATCTTCTAGACTTCCCTCAGGACACAGAGTTTATAACGTTGAGGCCATACTTAGAAATCATGCTATCACCACCACTGCCACCACCTCCACCACCATCTCTTCCTTGGAATCCAACATGGATCTTTTGTTATGCTAGGGTCTCAAGCTTAAAACAGAAAGAAGATCTTGAAAGACAGAAACAATACCTCCTCTCGCAGTTTCCAAACCACTGCCTTATTTCAGATATCGGCTCCAGTATCAATTTCAAGAGATCCGGATTGCGTTCCCTACTGGAACGATCAAGTCGTGGACTGATCAAGCAAATGAATTCTAATCGACTTGATCTATTCAGATACAGACAAGAATGAAAACAAGACAAAAAACACAAGAAGAAAGTGCAAACAACAGGATGAGCCAAAAGAATGAAGAAAGTAGACTTGACACAATCACTAAAATACGAATGTATCCCAATTCCTCTCAGAAGATCTTTCTTCGAAAATGGATGGGCGATTAGTTTACAATATGGTAATGGACAATTACTGTTTAGATCATAGGATTACAAGGCAATTTTTCTTTAGGATGCTCCTCCGGCTAAAGATTAAACATACAAAGGAATGGTTTTTATGGATAAGGTTCCATATGAAGTATTAGATCATGCTATAACAAACGCAATACAAGCAAGAGATGAGGTTATCACAAGGAATAAGGAGAATCAACATCAACATCTTGTTCTTCATTTTAGATCTAAGAAAAATGATCGTCAGATAATTACCATCTATGCTCAATACTGTCGTAAACCACTCCATTTTATATCAGGCTTCTACATAATAAGAAGCTTCTTGCTGTTGATTTTAAAACATTCACGTCACAAAATGGTTACCATTTTATTATGGATATCGATGATTGGTTGAATGAGATTGGCAAAATTAAAATGAACTCGAAGCTAATATATGAGAAAACTAGGATATTGGACATTTGTATAAGTACACAGAAAATCTATCCGCAAGAACCAAGCAAAAGAAATTCACGTTGCAGCCATCAATCCCAGAATTCGCACCTTTCTTACATGGTATTCTCCCACAGTTGGTTATGAAAACATCGGAGACAATGATATCAATCATGTTTTTTGCTTATGCTTGGCTCTTGATGCCTTTATCTCATGCACTAACAGAGCATTAGCAAAAAAAGCGTAACTCTATTAAGCGCGCTCAAGCGCGCATAAGAAGACATATTCAAAATTTAATGGATAAGTACATAAAAAAACTGCATTATGGTTGACTAAGACTTTTGATATAATTGTATTACCAAAATTTAATAGCATACAGATGTCTCATAGACAAAAAAGAAAAATTAATAGTAAAACAGTTTGAAAGATGATGAGCTGGGCGTATGCTGGGTTTAGGAATCGATTATTATCTAAAGCGGAAGAATTTGGTAAAATCATAATAAAATTCGTGTCCGAAGCATATACAAGTAAAACATGCAGTCATTGCTGATATATTAAGAGGAATTTGGGTGGGAATAAAGTATTTAGGTGGGATGGGTGTGGACTTCAGATTAATAAAGAACTAAATGACATTGGAGGAATTTTTCTCTGGGCATTTCTTGATGAAGCCTTGGTTATGTAACATAATTATGCTAATTGATTGATTATAGTTGACTGTTTTTAGCTATAGTTGATCGATTTAATCCATCCGGAAGATGTCCAATGCTACGTATAATGCATATTTAATCTCTAATTTTCTCTATATGCAACTGAACTAATTCACAGTTCGGTGATATTTAAACCCTCTACCCACATACAGTGGCGGTCAAAAGTATTGCATCACTTTTGACCTAAATTTACAACATGAATTACAATGATGATTATAATAAATTTATATTTATTTTAAAGCTTGAATCTTAAAGAATATATTGCAATTATTTTTTCGTCCAATTCATAGTGAAATCTTATATAAATTACATAATTTACAAAAATGTGAATTTTTGACTTTTTATTGAGAATAGCTACGACAAAATAAATGCCAGAATTTGATTCCTTAAGTGATATATAGTTCATATTCCAATAATTGTAATGGTTGAGCCAGTAGTTATGGAGAAATTAGCTTTAAAAATCGGTAAAAATTAAGGTTACACATATGTAAAATGGCGATTTTCAGTATTTTTCATGATTTTTAAAGGCCGATTTCTCCACAACTACTGATTCAATTGTTACAATTTTTGAAATACGAATTATAAATTACTTAAAGAATCATATTCTGGCATTTATTTTATCATAAATATTCCCAATAAAAAGTCGAAAATTTAAATTGTTGTAAATTATGTAATTTATACAAGATTTTACTATGAATTGAACAAAAAAATAATTGTAACATATCCTCTGAGATTCAAGGTATAAAATAAATATAAATTTATTATAACTATCATTTGTAATTTATAGTGTAAAAGGCGATGCAATACTTTTGACCGCCACTGTATATTGCTAATATAATTAACTAGTAAATTAACAAGTTTAACTTTCACATTCTTCAGACTTTTTTTATTTAAAAGTAAATATTTTTTTTAAAAATTTTCCATCAGTAAAATTATTTTTATCCTTGATTTCTCTTTAGTTTTTTTATCAATGTAAGACAATATCTTTTCTAAATCATTTTCATCTATAATTAAAAAGGTTTTTTATCCATCAATTCTTAATTCATATTATTCTATCCATTTAATTACAAAAATTCTAAATATTTTATTTTATAAGAATAATAATCAAATTACTATTCACTTAATTTTAAACTATTTCTAATTGCAAATTTTTATTCTTATGATACTTTTAAATATGATAAATTTTACTTTTTTTCCCACTTATATAATATTGTTTTTGGTTAAATTTTAGACTTTTTAATAATATAAATTATATTATTATAAAAAGAACTTTTTTTAATCTCTTATATATAGACTTTAATAAAGAAAGGGCTTTTCTAAATAATTTCCTTAATAAAATAATATTTACTAATACTTTATTATTTTTTAATTTTATATTATAAATATATTTTTTTAGTATTTAATCTTATTTAAATAGAAATTGTCTAGTATTTTTTTATAAATGGTACTAAAATTTTTATAAAATTAAAATAAAATATTATACTATATTTTTTAGTATTATAAAAATTAATCTTAGCTAATTAAACCAATTTCCTGAAAAATAAATAGTAGTAATATAGAAAATAAATAAAAAGATATTCCTTTTTTACTTAAAATTAATTTATTTTAAATATATTTTACATTTTCTTTTAGCTATTATAAATTCTAAAATTCTATAAAGTTATACTAAATTACAATAATTCTCAAAAAAGACTTAAATTCATTTTAGTAATTCTGAATCAAAAGAATAATTTTGAAAAATTTGGAGTTTTGAGTTGGATCGGATAGATAGTTGCTATAATTTCATGATCGTCCCTGCAGATTGTCAGATTATTCACTCATGCATTTTGCGTTAATTAAAGTAACGAAAATAGACTACTATTTGCATGATTTGAAGGATAAGAAATCAAAATTTGCCACGAGTTTTTCAAAATCTTTATATTTGCATAAAAGGTTACACAAAAAAAAATTTGAAGAGAGTTATTGGTTAACATTTTTTAAGCCGGATAAATATAAATAGAAATAATACAAAAAAACCAGAGAAATATATCTTATATTCTGAGAGCGATTCTACAAAATGGCGCCGCCACGCTCTTTCATTATTACTTGCATTCTAATACTTACCATATCAGCAAATACTTTTGCATTTTATTTGCCAGGTGTTGCACCTCGCGATTATAGAGAAGGCGATGAAGTAGAAGTACATGTCAATTCCCTCACACCGATGATGGGACCCGCAACTCAACAACTTAAGTCTGTTATTCCCTACGATTATTATTATAAACCTTTCCATTTTTGTCAACCAAAGGAATTAAAGAGTCAACCCGAATCATTAGGAAGTATTTTATTTGGAGATCGTATTTTTAGCTCTGCTTATGTGGTATAAATTTAGATTTTTGCCTTCGTCTATTGATTATTCGTGTGCATTATTTTTTATTTATATAAGCATTTTTGATTTGATAATGTATTCTTTTTAATAAAATTAATCAATAGCTCAAAATGAAAGTCGACGAAAAATGCAAACTTCTTTGCAATCAAACAGTCCCCCCTGAAGATGCCAAATTCATTAACCAGCGTATTCGAGAAAATTATGCTATCAATTGGCTCATTGATGGACTTCCAGCCGCTAGTAAAAAGTTAGACGCTAAAACCCATACTAATTTTAACAGTATCGGATTTGAATTAGGAGATCAAACTGCTGAACCATCTTTGAATAATCATTATGATATAACAATTCAATATCATACTCAAGATAAAAACAAGTATCGGGTTGTCGGTGTAATTGTAAAACCATTCAGGTATAAAGAATTAATTGGATATTTCGATATCATTTTGTTCAATTAACATTATTTACTACATTTACTAATATTTGATACTTTCTTTTTGCAAAAAAAGCCGAAAATATGATGCAACATTATTCAGGTATAAAGAGTTGGTTGTTTATTTTCGATATCATTTGCTCATTTTGCTCAAACAACATTTATTAATATTTAATACTTTTTTTGCAATAAAAAGTCAAAAAGATGAAAATAAAGATTGTAATTCTGTTATCAACAGATTAGTACTAAGCGAAACTAATTCTAATGAAGTATTTTACACTTACGACATATCATGGGTTGTGAGTATTTTTATAATAAGATTTAATTATTTTTCTTTTAAAAAAAATTAGTCAATATTTTAAAATTTTTTATTTAGTCTTCTTCAACTGCATGGGCAACACGCTGGGACAGTTATTTACATACTTTTGACCCAAGAATTCATTGGTTCAGTTTGGTAAATTCTATTGTCATTGTGTTATTCTTGACAGGTATGGTTGCTATGATATTACTTCGTGCTTTGCACAAGGATATCTCCCGATACAATCAAATTGAGGATAAGGTATTTATTTTATTTTATTAGAAAGAAATCCATTTCTTTTTTTTAAAAAAAATTTCTGTATATGAATTTATAGGAAGACGTTCAAGAAGATTTTGGATGGAAATTAGTTCATGGTGATGTCTTCCGTCCTCCGGTTAACGTCATGTTATTATCCGTTTTTTTGGGAAGTGGTGCACAGTTATTCTTTATGACTGCTGTTACACTTGGTTAGTATTATACTTTCGATTTACCAAATATGAATAATAACTTGTAAATTAATGGTATATTATTATTACTTTTTCAGTTTTTGCCGTTCTTGGTTTCCTTTCACCTTCAAACCGCGGTTCTCTAGCTACAGTCATGATCATATTTTATATGCTCTTTGGTTCCGTAGCTGGATATGTTTCTGCTCGCGTATACAAAATGTTTAACGGTGATTCGTGGAAGAAAAATGTTTTTTTAACAGCTTTCTTATTCCCATCGTAAGTAGTCAATTAATTTGTTTATTTATATAATTTTTTAAAGGGATAAGAAAGAAATTTCGAATGGAAAAAACAAATTTGAGAAATTATTGATTAAGATTTTTTTTATCTGCATTATAGACTTATTTTCGCTATCTTTGTGGTCCTAAATTTTTTCCTTGTCTCGGCAAAGTCTTCTGGCGCTGTCCCTGCCACAACTTTATTAGCTATAATTGGATTATGGTTTTTAATATCCGTTCCCTTATGTTTCATTGGTTCATTTTTCGGATTCAGAAAACCTGTATGTTTATTTTGTGATAGCGTGTTGATCAAAAAAAGTTGGAAGTGAAAATTAACATTTATTTCTTTTATTTACTTTAGAAAATTGAACATCCAGTTCGTACAAACCAAATCCCACGGCAAATTCCCGATCAAGTATTTTATTTACGGCCTATCCCTTCTATGCTCATGGGCGGTGTACTCCCATTCGGCGCTATCTTTATCGAATTATATTTCATAATGAACAGCATTTGGGGAAATAAAGTATATTATTTGTTTGGATTTGCCGCTTTAGTGTTTATAATCCTTACCATTACCTGTTCAGAAGTTACAATTTTATTGTGTTACTTCCATCTTTGTGCAGAGGTTAGTTTGAATATATCAATTTTCAAATGTGATTTTCAGTTTATTTACCTATCAATTTTTTTAATCTAGGACTATCATTGGTCGTGGAGAGCTTTCCTAACATCTGGAGCGTCCGGATTATATATATTCATCTATTCTATTATGTATTTCGCAACTAGATTACAAATTACATCATTAACAAGCACGGTCATATATTTTGGATGGTCAGGAGTTATGAGTTTAATGTTCTTCGTTCTTACTGGTACGTTTATATTTTAATCAGTTTTTGATGAATAATTTGTGAAAAGCAATCTAATTATATTTTCATTTGCGTAGGAACAATTGGATATTTTGCATGTCTTGCTTTTATCCGTAGGATTTTTATGAGTATTAAAGTGGATTAAAGCATAAGATTATATTTTATTTTACGCCGATCGGAAAAGATAACGATAAGATCATTGATGTTTGCAACATAAACCAAAAAAGATTCTGTACATTGTGTGTTACATTTGTTATACTCTTATTATATATTTATATATTATATATTATGAGAAATTTAAGGTTAACCAAATAAAGTTTTAAAATCGATTTAGATTTTTTAAATTAGTTTAATTATAATTTTAGTTGGATAATCAGTTTTCCAGTTTAATTTGTATTTTTTTTAGATAGTTATTTTTACAAATATACATAATAAAAAACTATTATTATTAGTAATTTTCTTATCATTTAAACTTTAATTAATTGTTGTTTATTTGAACAATTAAACGTTTTTAATTTTTACCAGAAATCTTACCGTAACAAGATAATCTTTAAACAACTATGGGAATTTTTATGCGTACAAAGGGATCAAAAAGCCATCACGCTTTAGACCGATCCCATACGAATAATTTGCATATATATACATGTAAGATTGATATTTTGTCAAACATTTATTAACGGCGTTAAGATTGAGATTGGCAAAATCAGATTTGTGGCATTTGTGCATCTGCATTATGAATAACTCGTTTGTACAACCGCATTATGAATACTCATAATACTCATTTTATCATTTTAAAGTATCATATCGTAATTATTTTATGTTGTAATTCATACGTTATCTATTAGATTAGATCTTTATGCATTTCTTTGATTGTAGATCTACTATCTCCACGCTATCTTTGATTAGATATATTGTATAACCTTAGGCTTTTGTATTGACTCATTTTCTTTAACATTTCATTTGGCGTCAAAACTTGTGTCTAGTTCTTTTTTATATAAAGAGGAACCAACTCTTCATTTTCAGTCTTCAAACTCTTCTTTTTTTTCAACATATTGATGAGTTATAATAAAAGCACATCGGCCGATTACATAGATATACAAGGTAAATTATTTTGTTCTAATAATCTCTTACTCTTCATACGAAAATTAACCTTTTATTCTTCTATCATAGTTTGGAAGTCGTCATCAACAGAATTTTAAACCCTCGCCTAAAAAAACCATACTCTTTATTTTTGTGCTTCTTTTTTAAATAATAAATAATATAATAAAAATACATATATTACACTGTACCATATTTCCATTCCCATTTGCAATAATCCCTTTTTCTTTAAAACAAATACTTTACAATGTCTTTGTTGCTTAGACGTTCTTTCGTCAATCCCTCCTCAATTTCCATCACAAAAGCACTCTTTATCACTTCATTACAGAAGTGCGGGCTTGCGACGGTCTCAGACAAGCCGTTTACTATTTCCAGCCCTCCGCCAGCTCCTTATGCTAACGTCAATACTAAGCCGCCTAAGGCGGCTTTAAAACTCCGGTCCGGTGAAGTTTTTCACGGTACTTCCTTTGGAGCCAATATTCCCGTTTCCGGGGAAATCGTCTTCACAACTTCTGTTGTAGGGTATCCTGAATCAATGACTGATCCTTCTTATCGTGGTCAAATCTTGGTGTTCACCCAACCATTAATTGGTATGTTCTTGTTATTCTTGTTTCTATAGAACAATTCTCAAAAAGCTAATCCTTTTCATTTTTAGGAAATTATGGTGTCCCAGGGCTTTTTAAGGACCAGTACGGACTCCTTAAATATTTCGAGTCTGATCGCATACAGTGTGAAGCTATAGTCGTCAACGACTATGCAACACGCTATTCACATTGGACGGCAGTGGAATCTTTAGGTGAATGGTGCTCAAGACACGGCGTTCCTGCAATTACAGGTGTTGACACTCGGGCAATCGTCCATATTCTTAGGGATCAAGGATCAACCCTCTCAAAATTGATCGTCGGTGACGATGCGGCGAATGAGAATTTCAACAAAATTCCATACACTGATCCTAACACTAGAAATCTTGTTTCTGAAGTTAGTACGGCTGTTCCCGTCTCTTATAATCCCTATGGCGACATCAAGATCGCCGTCGTTGGTTAGTATTTATTTATTTTTCCTTAATTTTTTCCAATTTTTCGAAATTTAAATTTAATGTAATGTTTGTTTTTTTTAAATAGACTGTGGTGTCAAACACAACATTCTACGAAGTTTAGTTAAACGCGGCGCGGCCGTCACAGTTTTGCCATGGAATTTTGACTTTAATAAGATCTCTGATCAATTCGATGGAATCTTTATTTCAAATGGTCCCGGAAATCCGATGAAAGCAATGGAAACTGTTTCAAATCTTCGCAAGGCCATGAATTCATACAAACGGCCAATGTTTGGTATTTGTATGGGAAATTTATTGATGGGAATGGCAGCTGGACTTGACGTCCGAAAGCTTCGATTCGGGAATCGTGCACATAATGTTCCAGCATTAAACATGGTGAATGGCAAGTGCCAAATTACTTCTCAAAATCATGGTTATGCGCTTGTTGATGACAAGTTTCCCCCATCTTGGAAAAAATACTACGTTAATGTTAATGACGGGTCAAACGAGGGTATTATCCACAAGACCCTTCCGTACAGAAGTGTTCAATTTCATCCAGAAGCTAAGGGAGGACCAGAGGACACAGAATTTCTCTTTGACGAGTTCATTGATCAAATTCGTTCTGAAAAAGTCAAACGAGAAGGGACTAAATTCTTTGTTCCCGAAACGATTGATCACCGAACAGCACAAGTTGCTTAATTCGTTCCAAAAATCTTGGGAATAATCATCTTGAAAGAACATTTTTCTTTTCTTTTTTCTTTTCTTCAAATTTATTTTAATTTTAGATTTGCAAAATTATATCCATATTTTCTTTTATATTTTCTCTAATCATGTGAACATTTTAGTTAATAAAGACATTATCATTGTTTGTAAATAATTGTTAAAATTGTGTCATAAAATGTTTTTGAAATTTATTTTGTCTCTGCTACATGAAAATATTATTTTCTAATAGAATCATTTTCAAATAAACTATAAATAACTTCTACCTATACGACCTAAACGAAGGTACTCGGATATTGTTATGATCGTCTTGATGTCATTCGAATCACAATACAATCCTCATCGGCTGCTCGCTCAAGATTGTCCATTGAAATCGTTCAGTAATTCCAGGACCACAATATATAAAACAATTAACCAATAAAACCATAATTTGTTAAAAACGAACGATTCAATCAATGAAAATTCAAGTATTAATTCATACTTGCCAACATAATCATTCGCTCTTAATTTATCGCGAAGCGCAACATAGTCGTTGAATCTTTTTGGAACATATTCCGCATTTATTATATCATCTATATCATCATGTACTATAGAAGAAATTGAGCTCATAAAAGCATCAGTACCTGACTAAAATCGAAAATTTACTAAAACTATTATAGCAAACTCGGAACTAAACAAAATTCATCTGAAATCTTCAAGAGGAAGTATTCTATGATGACATTAAATTATCATATACATAATTTAATGTGTATAGTTGAGTTTAGTAAGTTTCCTTAGGGTTACTCCAAAAAAACCTAAACCTTGCAAAACCAAACACAAGTGGGCCCACAGTCAAAAGATTTTGTTGTAACTTGTAACACATGAGGAATTATAAGATTGGCTTGTTCGGATGAAATGTTCATGCTGTATATTTTACAAGGTTAATTGGCTAAGATAGTAACATAAATGTATGACTTTCGCGTTTTTTATAAATTTCTTCTTGGGAAGATAATATTCAGATTGTAGGAAAAACTACTGGCAGAAATCCATTTATCCAATAGAATCCGCACTAACAAAATCTGCTAATTCGTTATCCAATTAAAATTAGACACAAAACAAGGTGTGACAAACTTGTATATAAATAACCGGTCAAAATTCTTCTGCATCTTTCAAAAAAAAAATGAAATACTATTTTTTAGTACTAATTACTTTGATAGCGCTATTTGCGCTATCATTGATTGAGGCTGCCGTAATTGCGATTGATTACGGAACTGATTGGTTTAAGGTTGCACTCGTAAAGCCGGGAATACCTCTTGATATAGTGTTGAATAGGGATTCTAAGCGCAAAACCCAATCAGCTTTGACAATACGTGGTGAAGAAAGAATTTATGGTTCAGATGCCGTTAATCTTGTGAGTGAGAATGAAATTGGGTATTTTAACGAAAGAATATAATATTTAATCGTGATCATTTATTGTAAGATATTGCAATTTAATCATTGATCCATAGATAATTGAATTGTTGAATTGATGAATTTAGGGTGCACGGTTTCCACTTAATACTTATTTTAGTATCAAAAAAGTTCTTGGTCGGTTGGTTGATGATCAATCCATAAAAGATTATCAGTCAGTTTTTCCAAATAAAATAATACCGGATCCAATTCGAGGAACGGTCGTTTTTCAACATAATGAAACTACTACTTTCACGGCAGAAGAAATTCTTGCAATGCAATTTTCTCATGCCAAAGAACAGGCCGAAGCAGCTGCACAAGAAGCAATTAAAGATGTTGTAATCACGGTATTTATATTTCAATGTATAATATGTTTAAAATGTACAATCATGTATTGTAATCACCGATTTATACGTATTAGGTGCCTTCATATTATAACCAATTTGAAAGGCAAGCAATTTTAGATGCAGCTGAACTTGCCGGCCTTCATGTTCTTTCTTTGATTAATGATGTTACGGCAGGTGCGTTTAAAAGTGTCCCTTTTTTTTATATTTTATAATTTTATGTTGATAATTTTTACTGAATTAAATGAATTAAATTAGTTGGATTGAATTATGCGATCTCTCATCATAATTCGTTCACGGAGGAACCACAATATCACGTGTTTTATGATATGGGTGCTGGAAGTACTAAGGCGTGCTTGATAAGTTTCAAAACATCCAATGTAAATGACGTAGGACGCTTCAACAAAACAATTATCAACCTTGATGTGTTATCAGTCGGTTATGACCGATCTCTTGGCGGTCAGGAATTTGATATTCGCCTCCAAAGACATTTTGCGGAAGAATTTAACAAAAAATTTAGTGGGAAATTGAAATCATCTATTTTCACATCGGAACGTGCTATGACAAGACTTTATAAGGAAGCAAATAGAATAAAACAAATCCTTAGTGCCAACACAGATGCTATAGCTTCGGTTAATATCTTAAAAGTTTAAAATAATTGTTTTAATTAATGCTTCTGCGTACGTGATATCTGAATCATATATTAATATTTCAGTTAGAGAATTTACACGAAGAGCATGACTTCCGTCTACCTATAACGAGACGTGATCTCGAAAATATGACAGCTGATCTTAGAAAACGCGTCGGTGGACCTATTAAAGCGGCCTTGGATAATGCTAAGTTGACCTTAGTAAGTCTCGTATTTGCATTATAAATTACTTTTATACTTTTATTGAAATTTATTTACGCAATTTCTCTACTTTTATAATAGGCTAGCATTAAGTCTTGCGTATTGGTCGGTGGTGGAGTTCGTGTTCCATCAATTCAAGCTAAACTTAAGGAAATTGTTGGAGAGTAAGTGCTTTTGAGGTTCTGTTTTTATGATTTTTATAAAGTATTTTAATTTTATGATCACATGACGTTTATAGGGATAAGATTGCTCAGAACGTGAATGGTGATGAAGCTGCTGTGCTTGGTGCGTGATGTCATTTATGTCATTTATGTCTGAATATATATCTGTAATAATCAATTGTATTAACTGTTCTTTTTTTTATGTTAGGTGCCGCCTTTAGAGGAGCTGGATTAAGTCGTCAATTTAAAGTAAAGGAAATCAAAGTTAAAGATATTACTCCTTATCCCATCGAAGTTAATCATTCCTCAGAGCCAAAAGAGTCCGAAGATGGTAACAACCAAGTTACTTATGGGTTAAATTTTATTTGAAACACATTGGTTTTCTAATGATGCGTTTTTTAGGTATTTCAAAATCTAAAGAATACCATACGGTATTGTTTAATCAATTTACTGCGGTTGGAACGCGTAAAATAATGAGTTTCCCACGTACGAGTGATTTCAATTTTTTGCTAAATTACGCTATTCCAGATGAGGTCACGAAAGATTTTGGGCCCACAAATATTGCAATTACAAAAATTACTGGATTAACTGCTGCCATTAAGCAATTTAATGATGTTGGTGTAGAACGCCCTAAAGTTAAAGTTACTCTGCAATTATCTGAATCTGGTATAGTTTCTGCTACAGAAGCAATAGCGACTATAGAACATCAATCTTTCACAGGTGAGTTTGGATTGCTTTAATAATTTATAAAACATGTTAGCTGAAATTAATTTTTTCCTTCTGGTACAATTTCATATAATAGATAAGTTCAAATCATTTTTTGGTGTTAATGGAAACAAGTCAGAAGAGTCAATTAAAGAAGTCCCATTGCCAGATGTTAGTAAAATCAGATTACATCATAACTTCAATTTCTCCAAATACAAATAATTAATAAAGGAATAAATAATTATATATTAGGAAACAACAAGTTCTTCCGTGAACGCATCGGAACCTACACTGGAAACAAATAAAACTCAGGCAAATGATACCGAGCCTACACAAAAACAAACTAAAATAGAAACGATAAATCTGAATCTTGAAGTAGAATACGTTGGCATTAAGCCTTTGGGCAAAAATGAAAAGGATGAATCAATTAAAAGGTAAAGATATCTCCTTTTATAATACCTTTTTTTTTCTTTTAATTTTTTTTATTAATTGCCATTTATTATTAGACTACGTGCAATGGATAATTCTGATCTCCAACGACGAACTCGCGAAGAAGCGAGAAATAACTTAGAATCTTTTGTTTATCGCGTACGAGATTTCCTTCAAAATGAAGTAGTATTACAAGTTAGTACGGAAAGTCAACGCGCTGAGTTATCGTCAAAGTTATCTGAAACATCTGACTGGTTATATGAAGAAGGCGAAGAAGCTCAAACTGTAGAATTTAAAACACGTCTCAATAACCTTAAGTTTGTAAAATTTATTTAGCCGTATTTGTGGTTTAATAATATCACAATACTTAAACCTTTTATTTCTTTGATTTAGATTACTTGAGCAACCTATCGCATATAGACGGGAAGAACGCATAAAACTTCCGAATGCAATTTTTAAAATCAAAGCTGTTATCAATAGCACTCGTGATTTTGTTGATGAGATTAAAACCAACACTACAGCCGAAAATCGATATCATACAGATGAGGAACTTGACAAATTATTAAGTGTATGCGGAAAAGTCGAAGAATGGCTTAATGAAAAATTGGAGCTGCAAGGAAAAACACCACCTCATGTTAATCCCTCTTTGGTTACTATTGATATTGATAAAAAATTAAATGAAATAGAACGCGAATTTTTAATTTTGGTTTCTAAGAAACCACCGAGGAAGCCTAAAATCATTGCAAAAACAACAGATACCAAAACGACGAAGGTTGATGAGCAAAGTACTAGTAGTGAAGGCAGTAGTACTACCGAGTTCGTTAGTCAATCTACTGCCACACCAATGACCGAATCTAAAAAACCAGAGCAATCGACAACAACAAAAACAAAACACGAAGAATTATAAAAAAGTTGGCAATTAACTTTTATTCTTGAGCATTATTTATAAACTATTCATATAGAAATTTTTTAACAATTAGAATCATCTCATTTTTTTATAAAAAAAAGAAATAATAAAAAATTTTTATAATAAATCGTATTTGTCAATTATAAATTTTTTGTGAATAAATATTTCGTACTGTATAAATTAGTGACCTTGATCTTGAACTTAATAATGTTAATAATGTGCAGCCACAACTTTACATCTAAGTCAGATCGGCAGTTAATGGTGATTGGTTCTAATTTTCATCGCAAATTACATAACCGAAAAAATTAAATCATAATAGTTTCTCTCTCTTACTTCCATCCATTTGCTGTTTGACAATGGTGAGTGCCAGAATGACTGCCAATAAATTAAGAATTACGATTGAGTTGTTACATCTAAGTACTCCACATATTATATGAAAATTTACATTATTTCATTTTTTTTTTAAAAAAAAAAAAAAAAATTTATTTGCCAAGACCACAAAGAGAAGAAATCACGGACGTAACAAACATGGGCGTGGTCATGTCAAGCCAGTGCGGTGTTCTAACTGTGCTCGCTGCGTACCTAAGGTATTATTATCAACAATTAACCTTTTATCCTGTTCATTTATATAAATGTAAATGGATTTTTAATATAATTATTTTAGTATAAGTAATAAATAATAAGAAAAAATTAATATAAAAATAGGACAAAGCTATCAAACGTTTTACTGTTCGAAACATGGTAGAAAGTGCTGCAATTCGTGATATCACCGATGCATCAGTTTACCAAGGTATTTTTTTTAAATAATTTTGAATTCGTTAATAATATAAAAGTATGAAAATAACATTGTAAAATTGATTATTATTTAAGAATATGCCCTCCCAAAATTATATATCAAGCTACATTACTGTGTATCTTGCGCGATTCACTCTCACGTAGTGAGAGTTAGATCACGTGAAGGTCGTCGTAATCGTGCTCCTCCGCCGAGAGTTCGATATAATAAGGATGGGAAGAAGATTAACCCTAACGTTCAACAAAAGGCTACTACATAAAAATGCAATCGTATCAGCAATTATTTTTTTCCGTAGTATATTATTATTATTACTAGACATGTTATTCAAATAATAATAAATAAATCTTTTTAACAAATAAGATATTGATTACCGAGCAAAAATATTACAAAACAAAAAAAAATTACACTTTCTGAATGAAATCGCCTTCTTATCTTTTATCGTGTTAGATAATTTAAATAATCAGGAAATGCATATATATATATATATATACAGTATATATAATATATTATGTTTTATATTTCTTGAAGACACTGAATAATCTTGAATTATGTGTTTTTATACCGAAAGACAAATCTGGATTGCATAATGTATGTCCAACTGTTTAAATTTTCTTATCATAAAATAATAACATGTTAATATATATATGAAAGGTAAGTTAGCAGCTTCATTCATTGTAATAGATTTTTTTTACGCGAAAGAGAGGTGGTTTAGTGGAAATTGTAACGAGTACTGACTATAGTAATAATTTGTTCATGTTCTATTAGCTACACACCCATCTTTATCCTAATAACATCACAATAGTAAAAAGTTAATATAACAAGGTACTACCTCAGATTCATGATTTTGTAATGTCTATTTACAACTTATTTTATTTATATTTAGAGGAATTGTGTCACTTTGCGTCATGAAATTGTGTTCAAAATCAATGTTGAATCTATTCCATTACTAAAATATCGAACAACAATATCAAACAACGAACAAGAATCTTAATAATAATTTTTTGTTTGGATCACAGAAGATGCAGATGTAAAGAACAAGTTTAACGTTTCGATTTAATGATTTGAAAATAATGGAACAATTTATCTGCGTTGATACAAAATTAGTAATATTAGTAATTAAAATTGCGAGAGAACGTAAATTCTATTTGGAATTCAAATTTGGAATAAGTTTCTTTTTTACAAGAGAATCAAAAAGAATTGATTGCTCTTCTTTCACAGTATCTTTACTGATCTGCAAAACAATGCACCGTCTTTTTTTAGTGTTGCACAAATTGGATATATCAGATATATAATACCTACCTCGGAAAGTGAACGATAAAAAGTAACGTGGAAAGTCATCAACTCATTATTCGATTTTTACAATTTAAATTTAAAATTTTGTTCATTGCAAACGAAGTTTTTGCTATTTGACAACAAAACTTTTTCAATTAAACGTCAAGAAATTATTATTCCGTTCCTAATACATAACTAATTTGTTCTTGAATCGGAAATGCTCAGCTGTTGTTATTTCTATTCTCACTTTAAGAGCTATCCATTAAAATTATAAAAACCATAATAACCATAATTTTTTTATTTTTTGTTTACCAATGATATCTTACGTATTACCAATACGGGATGATTAAGAATGTGTGTTTTTGTCTTTATGGATAAAATTCCCGAAAAATGGGTATGACATATTGCATCATGTGATTTATGGCTCAGTTATAAATATACAAACTTTCAGAATATTTTTCTCGAACACTTCGAACACTTCTGAACTGAACACTTCTATAATGGCAAACGAGAAGTGTGAAGATAAACAAGTAAATAATGGAAGCATCACAGCTAATAGTCAAAAATCAGCTCTTGAGGTCAAACTATTAACTGAGAAAGTCAAGAAGCCTGCAGCGACAGTTGACGAAGTTACCGAGTTACTTTCAGCTACTTCAGTTTCTCCTTCAACAGGAGTATTTCGCCAAAAGTCCTTTAAAACTTCACCATTACAATTAAAAGGTAAAGTTGAAACACAAGAAGAACGAAGGAAGCGAGCATTAGAAGAACAAAAAAAGGTGAAACGACATTTTTATTGTTAATGTGCCATTTAGAATATTTTAACGAATGGCGGTAAACCTTTTCTTTTCATTTTTTTCTAGAGAAGACGAGATCTTAATACCCACGCGAGAAATCTAGCGCTATTCAAGCCGGAAAATTTTTCATCAGAAGAGGAGCCAGCGTCCGATGATGAATCAGTAAATAATGATTCCCCAATTGAACTAACCAAACCTCTTAAGCGCAGCTTGGACATAGATCAAGATGATAGTTTGCTACAAGAATCATCTGTAGTTAAAAAAGTAAGAATCAAAGGAAAGTTTAGAGAACCTCGTCGCAAGATTAAAGGATCTAATCCATACAGAAATCAAGTAATGCATGCTGAATGGATGCAAGAAATACCATCTGATTTAGAGAAGAATTGGTATGTTGTGTTATGTCCTAAAGGCAAGCGTTGCCTTGTAATATCAGCAAAAGGTAATTATATTGTTTGGAAAAAAAAATTTTTTTTTTTTTAATAAATTATTAATGTTTAATATTTTATGATTCAATGATTCAAGGTAAAACTGTAAGCCGATTACGTAATGGTAGGATATAGGCATTTCATGTTTTTATATAAATTATTTTATGTAATCAACTATTTTTTATACATATTGAATACTTAACAGGAAATGTCATGAATGTTTTCGAGTCTGTCTTACCTGCAGGAGCGAATTCATACAAAGGAAACAAAACGACTGATTATTGTATCTTGGACTGCATTTATGATCAAACGACATTTACTTATTATGTATTGGATCTTATGTGCTGGAAAGGACATCCAATCTACGATTGTGATACTGAATTCAGGTTAGTGCATTTTATTTTTCTCTAATTGCATAATCTTTTTTTACGATCATTATTAATTGTCAACCTTTTGAAAAATTTTTAGATTTTATTGGCTCAACACAAAGTTTACAGAAATCGAACGTCCAACTGCAAACACTTTAACTTATAAGTTCAATCCGCTCAAAGCTCATTATTGTGATCAAGATAAAATATCATTCTTGATTAAAAATCCTCATTCTTTCGGATATCGACCGGATGGACTGCTATTTTTTAATAAACGTACTCAATATGTTCTTGGTGATACTCCATTATGTGGTTGGGTTGGAATCGAAAAAGTTGAAGAAATGTTTGAAGACTTCATCAAACAAAAAAAACAATGAGAATTTACAAGCACAAGAATTATTAAATTGGGCCTTTAGAATTGATATCGACTAGATTTTTTATAAATGTTGTCACGCCAACTTTTCGGTATTCGTTTATCAGCTTTTGGCGGACATTGTGAAATATATGAAATGGACCTTTACTTTTCTTTTTCTCCTTTTGCTCTTTCTTTAAAATTTCTTATTATACACAAAAAATTATTTAATGATATTATATTGTATATAAATCTTTTTTTTTTTTTTTTTTTTTTTTTTTTTTTTTTTTTTTTTTAAAAAAAAAAAAAATATATATATATATATATATATATAACAATTATAAAAAAAGTATATATCAGTTCTATAATCGATTTAAAAAAAAATTATGATAGTTCCACTATATTGAAAAATGAAAGTTCCAAAGTAGTCTATAAAAATATATATATATATACAAAATTATGAAATGATTTTAAATTAATTAATTTTTCAACAATAATAATAATGAAACATTTCAATTTATTGATTGTTTTTTTTTTAAAAAAAAAAATATATTAAAAAAAAAAATAGATAATTTCAATGACCATGTCCATGTTCAAATTGTAAAAGTAATGGCATAAACATTCCCAAAAGCATGAATGCAACATGTGATTTCTTCATCTTAATAATATTATGACCATTAAAACCATTATCTTTACCATTGCCACTTGTAACATCTTGCATTACATGCATAGCGACATATAAGAAGGTTCCCCCAGAAAAAAGTAATAATACAGCAGTCCACCATTTCATTCCAATTGGATCTATTTCACCACTTCTTTGTAATAAAGAATAAGTGAATATTGCAGATAAAGGAGCGGCTAAAGAGAAGGTGAGCAAATGTTTACGAATTTGACGACGAGTATATGCTTCACGTAATAAAATTGTTGAAAGACCAAAGGCGGCAGGAGCTTTATGTAACATAATAGCTAAAAAAACTATTAATTCAAGAGCAGGTTGACTAGCGGAAGCACCCAAAGCGATTCCATCAGCTGCAGCATGTATTACAAGTCCAATCGTAGCGGATGCAGGTTTCTTATGTATTGAAGAGGAACCACCTAACATTTCATGATCTTCATCATCACGATCACCGGAATTGGCCAAAGAACGAAGTTCTGTTAAACTTACAACGTTACCACGTGTATGATTATGACCATGGGATGAATCAATTTGATCAATTACAAACATCATAGCGAAACCAGATATTAAAGCGAAACCAATATAATGATGATTCGCACGATCATGATCATGATCATGATCTGAATCATTATCTGAAGGATTATCTGAAGGATTATCAGTTTTCGGAGAATCGATAGGAGGTTCAATTTCTTGACGTTTATCTTTTAAAACTTCTTCAACTTTGATGGACCTTTTTTGAAAAAAATTTTTAATATTATTATTATAAGAATATTCATTTCTTAATTTTATATTATTATTCCAAATATTACGTTTATCAAAATTATTATTATTAATTGTTAATAAAGAATTAGAATTGATCACTTTTGATGATTCAACACTATATAAAGTTTCAATTCCTTCGGGTATAATTACAATTAAAGATGTTCCAACTAATAGACCAACTCCAAATGCTGATATTGTTCGCAATCTGTCTTCAGAAAGGTGAAATGCTAATGGAATACTCCCCGCAAGGAAAGAACCAATAAACATTGTCATTGAAAGAAGAAACAACCATAAAAAGGTCTCCATTTAATTATAAGTTTTTTTTGGGGGTTTTTTTTTTAAATTTTAATTATTCAAAAAGCTTTTTTTTTTTCGTGTCTTGTTTTTTTAAAAAATAATAATAATAATAATAATAGTAATAGTAATAATAGTAATAGTAATAATAATAAACCAATTTCTTTTTTTTTTTTTGAATTAAATAGAACTTTTTTTTTAAAAAAAAAATAAATATATTTATTTTTTATCAATAAATAAATAAATATATATTAATATATAATATAATTGTTTCATAAAAAAAAAAGAAAAGAAAAACTTTTCTAAACCGAGATCTAACTTTTTTTAAAAAAAATTAAAGGAAGGTNAAAAAAAAAAAAAAAGAAATTAATAATGAATAATATATAATAATATCAAATATGAACATTGTGCATAAACAAATCAAATTTGCAGAATTTAAAACAATGATTGATCATGTGACATCTACAATCTACAGTATGTGATTTTGTGATTTATGTGATTTATGTGGTACCTTACCTAACAATCGTTTTGCGCATAATAATCATAATAATATAATAATATCAAATCTCCAGATATAGTAAAAAATTGTCGATAGAAAAATGAATATTTATTAATATTTATTAATATTGTGCGTATAAACAAAAACTGAATGAGATGAATTGATTATAAAAAAAAAAAGGTAATTTTTTTAAAAAAAAATATTTACGAATAAATGAAGAATGTACGAAACTAGTACCGCTAATAATATAAACGAATATATAAACGAAAATATAAACAAGAAAAAAAAAGAAGTAATATTTACGATAAAATACGATAACAATCATTGTCAACTTAATTTATATAACATATACAGTATGACTAATTGTTTACAGGAAAAACGGAAATTAAAAAAAAAAATTTCATAAAATATTTTTACGTAAAAACTATAAAATAAACAACCATTCAAATAAATTTAGGTTTTTTTAATATAAAGAAAGGGGGAAATGATATACCATGATTTGAATGGATTGCAGAAATTTTTAACGTTAATCATCTTTCTTAATCGGGAAATATAAATTTTAAAAGGGATTAAACGAACCCCCACCAAATAATTGGTCGATATAACGATTCGTTTCAATGTCTTGAAGTGATTGCATCATTTGAATTTGAAGGCGAATCCTTCTTTGACGGTTAATGTTTCTTTGATGTCGACGGATTAAGACATATATGTTATTATTAGCACGTGTGGAATAAGGTCTTGGGTTTATTGATGACATTATTTTTTTTGGGGAATTTTTTTATTATTTTATTGAAATTATTATTATTATTTTTTTTATGAAATTAGGGAAATACTTATTTTTTTTTTTTCTTTTATGAAATTAGGGAAATACTTAATTTTTTTTTTTTCCCTGAAAAATCCAAAGAGGAATGAATTCATGATATTTATACTTGAACACAATACGGCGGGTAATACTTGTGAGTAATAAAATGTTGAATTACTAAAATTATTAAAATAAATTTGCCCCCTTATTAATCTTATTAGTATCTAATTTAATTGGTTTCATCTTTTTTTAACTTGAATGTTTCTTGACTATCTCTTCGTTTAATTTTATGATGTAAGAATTAATTTGTTTTCTATATGCAGTATGTCAAACCAATTAACATGCGGCGTTATGAAATCAAATGACTATTAAATACTATCTAAAATTCTTCGAGAATATATACATATATATATTCATTGATAACATTGATAAATTTGCCAAATTTGCAAATTAAAATTTGATTGGTTCTACATTTGACTTTCCTTTGCGAAAATAAATAATACTTCGTTTTTTTTAAAGGGGGGATTTATATCAAGTAATAAAAATAAAAAATGTTTCATATTGTAAAATTCAAAAAAAGAAATTTTTTTTTTTTATATCAATTAAAACTAGCTTTTTTTGAAGTCTCTCATTTATTTGTATCATTTAATTAAACGTATATAATGTTGATAATATGATTATATGATATCATAAAAAACACGTCCAACATATTTACAATACGATTTCACAACAATGCAACGGACGGACGGAATTATAATGTAAAAAGTTCCTAAAATAGAATCTTACTAAAATTAACTAAAATTAATTAAAAATTAAAAACATTTTTGTTAAAGATTTACAAGTTAAAGGTAATACCTATATCTATGCATGAAATATTCTTTCTTTCTTTTTTTTTTTATAAGGCGTTTTTTGCCCCCCTTTATTTAATTATTATTGGTTTTAATCGTTTAAAAATTAAATTAAAAAATGGTTCTCATCTATATAAACTATATGTAAACTCCGCAAATATTTAGCTAATTCTATAATATATTCACTATAATATTTTACATAGTATATACAACACATCGTACAATCTCATTAAAAAAAAATCAAAATATTTAAAATCAACCAAAAAAGGTAAGTTTCGGATACGTCAAATATGAAAAAGAAAAGAGATTTAAATCAGCCAAAGGAAATCTTGATACAATTTAAAATTTATAAAGATTGCATTCACTAAATTTTACGTTTTCATGCACAGACACTGATGATACATAATCACGAGGCAAGACAGGCAAGACTTATTATTTGTTACGCAACATATTTTTGTATAACATATTTGTACTATTCTTTTTTATTGTACAATAAATTTTTGAAACGAAAAAAGATCCCTGTCATTTGAAATTTTTGGTTCTTTAAATCCATATATTAACAAAAACAAGGGATTTAAAAAATGATTTTTATTTGTCCGTGTATAAGATTTATAATATCATAAAATACCATGATTATTTTATTTTGTTTCATGTTTATTTCCCCTTTAATAATATTATACTATTAGATGAATGGACATGGTATATTTAAGAGAGGCTCATCTCACACTTTGAAGGTCATCTTTAATTATACCCGAAATCCCGAAATATATATTGATACCCTATTTATCTAGTTCTTTAAGATTTCAATAAGTTTAGCTCCAAAAATTTTTTGAATTTTACCCCTTAGTTAATTAAATTCTTCTGAATTTACATACATACACATGTATATATTCTCTAATTGGTTAGATTTATCCCCAAAATATTTTATTTCCAATTTCCATAGTTAATTAACTTGTAATACCAGAAAAATATATCTTTATCTTTTTAAAACAGTTTTTAACATAATTGGTTTAAATAATAATAACAGTTTAAGTTATTTTAAGAAATTTTTTTTCGATTATTTAACAAATATTTATTTTTAAATGCTAATAATAATAATGATTTTGTTTTCTCTATAAGTTTAATCATGATCTACAAGGATACCAAAAAATTCATGCAATAAATATAAACATATGTATTATAATATAGATACAAATGAATTAAAAAAATTCATTTAACGAAAAAAAAAAAAAAAAAGGTAAATCAATTCTTTATATCAAATCCAAAAAAGAATAAGTTTCGGTTATATTAAATACAAAAATAAATAAATAATTTTGAGTAAATTCCTGAAACTTTGTACAATAAAGATTTGTAATAATGAAAAATCTTATGTGTACACGTGTACAAAATAGCAAATGAAAGAATTTCCCTTGAAATTTATGCAGATTTAAACTTTAAAGCAAATCGTACTACTTATGATAATTTATTTTATGCAAATCAAATTTACAAAACGTTTTGAACTTTTAACAAGGGATATTTTTATATACAATGCTTTTTATATACTAAAAAATGGATTTAAGTGGTTAAAAAAAAATAATGATTTTATTTATTCGTGCATTAGATTTATAATAGGTATTATAATTACAAGAAATTTCGTTTCACTCCCTTAATACTATATATGATTTGTTCCAAATAAAACAAATCTCGATGGCAAATCATGTCATCTTTAAAATATCCGAAATTTAAATGATTAATTTAAATACTTAACCCTTTAAACTCGTAAATTATTTAATTGGTAGTACCAAAATTATAATAGCTCAAAGTTGAATTTGAGAAGTAATAATTTAATTGGTTCTCATTCTTTTTATTTTAAGTGGATAAAAGTTTTAAATACCCTCTAAAAATAATAATGCTATATTATATATTTTCACTTTATATTAAAAGTTTACAGGGTTCACGATTATACTAGAGCTCGTTATAATACGTTGAATTTATGCATGTATGTATAACATGTATGTATAAAAACGTATATTTAATTAGCAGGGATTCATTAATTCGTTTATAATGTTTATAATAAAACAAAGCATTCTTGAAGGAAACAAGAAAAAAATTTTCGTACCACACACATACATCGTGGGTTGATCATTTCAACAAACCCTCGTATACTAGAGCTAATTATAATACGTTGAAATTTATTGTTAAAGTTTAATTAATTTATGCACTTATGTATAGCATGTATGTAAAAAAACGTATATTTAATTGGCAATTCGAGACTTCGTTAATTCGTTTATAACAAAGCAAATCTTGAAAAAACAAAGAAAAAATTTCGTACATAAATTGTACACACACGTGTTATTAATCATATTAACAGTTAATCATTAGAAATCATTGGCTAGTCATTTCCAAAATAATAAAGCATAAACAAAGTATTGGGTAATATGGTACAAAATGTTTCATACTGTAAAGTCCAAAAAAAGATTTTTTTTTTTTATATATCAATTAAAACTAGCTTTTTTTGAAGTCTCTTATTTAATATATTAATTATTATTGTCTAATTTTATTTGTATATTTAATTAAACGTATATAATGTTGATAATATGATACAATACGATTTTACAACAATGCAATGGACGGATGGGAATATAATATACAATGAAAGGCAAAAAAGTTCCTAAAATAGAACCTTACTAAAATTAACTAAAATCAATTAAAAAAATTAAACATTTTTGTTTAAGATTTACAAGTTAAAAGGCTTGCGTAATACTATTTATATCTATGCATGAAATCTTCCAATATATTTTTTCTTTTCTTTTTTTTTTTTTTTTTTAACAAANATTTTTTTTTTTTTTTTTTTTTTTTTTTTTTATAAGGCGTTTTTTGCCCTCCCCCTATTTTAATTAATTAAAAGGTATTATTGGTTTTAATCGTTCAAAAATAATTAAAAAATCTAAATGTTGTTTTTTTAAAAAAATGAATTGTTTTCTTAATTTATCATCATTTTAAAGTAATTTGGTACTACGACGATAACTTGTTTTTTTTTTCTTTAAAAAAATAAATAATTGGTTCTACTATATGTAAGGGGTTTTCGCAAATATTTATAATTCTATAATATATTCACTATTTAGTTTACAGGGATTTACAATTATACGGTTATTATAATATTTTACATATGGTATATGTAGTATATGAACACATCGTACAACTAATCTCATTTTATAAATTAATTTTAACAAAAAAAAAAATCAAATCAAATCAACCAAAAAAGGTAAAGTTTCGGATATGTCAAATATGAAAAAGAAAAGAGATTTAAATCAGCCAAAGGAAATCTTGGCATTGAAATTTATTAAGATTGCATTCATTAAAGTTTTACTTCTTTTATTCATGCACAGAACGTCAATTGACTCATGATACACAATCACGATACAAGTTGGTTACGCAACATATTTTTATATAACATATTTGTACTTATTCTTTTTTATTGTACAATCAAATTTTGAAACGAAAAAAAGATCCCTGTCATTTGAAATTTTTGGTTCTTTAATACCATATATTAACAAAAACGAGGGATTTAAAAAATGATTTTTATTTATTCGTGTATAAGATTTATAATATGAAATATCATGATAAGTAATGATTATTGTTTTTGTTTCATGTTTCCCCTTTTAATAATATTATATTATTAGATGAATGCAAACATGGTAATGGTATATTTTAAGAGAGACTTCATCTCACACTTGAAGGTCATACAAGTATACCAGAAATCCCGAATCCGAAATTTTTAAAGTTTAGCGCCAAAATTTTTTTGAATTTTACCCCTTAGTTTATTATATTCTTTTGAATTTACATAATTTTACATACATACATGTATGTATATTGACTAATTGGTTAAATTTATCCATAAAATATTTTAATTTCTTTTAACCCATAGTTAATTAAATTAAATTTTATTAATTTGTAGTACCAAATCATTTATTTTAATTATATTTGACCAAACATTTTTCATATAATTGGTTTTAAATAATAACAGTTTGAGTTATTTTAAGAAATTTTTTCGAATTACTCAACAAATATTTATTTTTAAAATTCTAAATAAGATTTTTGTTTTCTCTAATCGAGATCTACAAGGGTACCAAAAATTCATGCAATAAATATAAACATATGTATTATAATATAGATACAAATGAATTAAAAATTCATTTAACTTATATCAAATACAAAAAAAGAATAAGTTTCGGGTTATATTAAATATGAAAAAAAAAAAAAAATAAATAATAAATAAATTTGAGTATCCCGAAACTTTGTACAATAAAAATCTTTTTGCATTATCTGTACACGTGTACAAAATACGAATTTCCCTTGAAATTTATGCAGATTCAAACTTTAAAGCAAATCGTACTACTTATGATAATTTATTTTATGCAAATCAAATTTACAAAACGTTTTGAACTTTTAACAAGGGATATTTTATATACAATGCTTTTTATATACTAAAAAAAAGTGGACTTAAGTGGTGAAAAAAAAATAATGATTTTATTTATTCGTGCATTAGATTTATAATAGGTATTATAATTACAAGAAATTTCTTTTCGCTCCCTTAATACTATATATGATTTGTTCCAAATAAAACAAGTCTCGATGGCAAAAAAAAAAAAAAAATCATGTCATCTTTAAAATATCCGAAATTTAACTCCTTTAAACTCGTAAAATTTTAATTGGTAGTACCAAAGTTGAATTTGAGAAGTAATAATTTAATTTGTTCTCATCTTTTTATTTTTTAAGGGGATAAAGAGGTTTTAAATCTAAAAATAATAATGCTATATTATATATATTTCACTATGTGTTAAAAGTATACAGGGTTCACGATTATGCTAGAACTCATTATAATACGTTGAATTTATGCACATATGTATAACATGTATGTATAAAAACGTATATTTTAATTAGAAGTTCAGGGATTCATTAATTCGTTTATAATAAAACAAAGCATTCTTCAAGGAAACAAAGAAAAAAAATTTCGTACCACGTGGGCTGATTTCAAAATGATAAACCCTCGTATACCACTGTAATACGTTGAAGTTTCATTGTTAAAGTTTAATTAATTTATGCACTTATGTATAGCATGTATGTATAAAGACGTATATTTTAATTAGCAATTCAGGGCTTCGTTAATTCGTTTATTTATAACAAAACAAAGCTTGAAAAAAAACAAGGAAAAAATTTTGTACATAATTATACGCACGTGTAAATGATTTTCTTTATTGAGTATTAAATCATTGGCCGATCATTTCCGAATAATAAAGTATAATGTCACAGTGTTACACGAATACAAAGTTTCATGGAAGTAGGAAGCTGTTGATGATGATGAAATAATAATTTATATAATATCGAGCTACGCCACGAGTTACAACCTTTGACTTAATGAGTGATGTAGCTAAAAAAAAAAAGAAAGAAAAAGCCTGCACCCCTAGTTCCGACGCTAATTATAATTAATTATATACAATAGATGAAATGATTGAAATTTAATATATATATATATGGAAACCTTTGTTTAATATCTAATTGGTTCTAAAAGTTTTTTGAATACTCGTTTAAAAATTTTTGATGAATTATTTGAATTACTCGATTTTTTATTTATCAATATTTAATATTTAACCCCTTTATTTTTGATTGGTAAAATATTTATCTATCAGGTAAAACACAAAAAAAAAAATATAACTACACCAAATATCAAAAATAACTAAATTACACATTATAAAAAATATAAAAAATTTAATTTTTTTTTAAAAAAAAGTTTAAATTTCTATTTTATCCGTCTCACCTACTATTTCTTATTTTATTGGTTCTTTATTATCGACTTTTTAAGGGAAATTCTTTAATTATTTACAAAATATTTCGTAAAAGGCTGAAATTTATTTATATTCATAAACGATATTTTTAAACATTTAATTTAATTTTATTATATTTATGTCAAAACCTCCCCTAAAAAAAAGTTATTTGAGGAAATTTGAGGAAACAAGTAATTTTTAAAATGAAATATTATTACTTTTTAAGTCAATATAAAATCGAAAAAAAAAAATTGACTTAATATAGAATAAAAAAGAAAGCGAAATAAGTGGGGGTCTCACAAAAAAAATTTTGGGGCACTGTTTGTTTACCCATGTGAATAATGTATAATAGAAATTGTATATTGTACTATATTGTACCAATAAATATCGGAACATTTATAAGTGAATTTTGCGTGCTTTTGTGTATACATTATTTATAAAATTACCCCTAAATTTTTTTCGTAAAATTAAAATAACAAAAATTTAATAAAATTTTTTCTTATTTGCTTAGTAAATGCATAGAAATCTTAATTTGGCTTATTGTTAATTAGCTTAATTACATTATGGAATATATTTTTACTCCATAAGTAATCAGCGAAAAAAAAAAAAAAAAAAAAAAAATAGTATAAATCAGCGAAAAGAAGAACCATTAAACAACTGTGAAATAAAGATGTTTAAGGTGATTTCATCGCTAACTGGAGAAACATTTTGGTGATAGACCCTTCTAATTCTAACTCTTCTATTATTTTGGTTATTTTGGTTTTGTCTCCGATTTGAGACGCCATTTATATTAACTCTATTAACAGGGGCGTTTGAGCGTCTAAAATTATCTAATGACATATTTAATTTTTCGTTAGATAAAAAAAAGGTGAGTAAAAAAAAGAGAGCAAAAAAAAGAGAGTAAAAAAAAGCAAGTAAAAAAAAAAATAAGCCATATTTATACCTTTAGAAAGTAGAAACTATCTCATTTAATTTGTAATTATTTGTTTTAATTCAAGCCCCGAAATATTATATTTTTGTTTTGTTTATAATGATTAGCCCTAATGGAATTACATTATTATACCAATAGAAAAAATTTATTTATTTATTTCTGATATATCATTATATCGGTCTGCAAGCAAGGCCTAGAACCAACAAAAATCCATCGATAAGGTTTTTTTTTTTTAAAAAAAAAAAGCGGCATCTTTTATATGGAACACATGATCGTGAGTTAGAAAAAAAAAAATTTTTTTTTTTTCACACATATTTGATCATTTCACTCATTTGAATGCATGAATATTTAATTAATTACTAATTTAATACAATCTTACACAAAATAAAAACTGTCTCTTATACACATCTAGATGTGTATAAGAGACAGCGTGATTGGTAACACCTGAATTTTTACTATAATGANAAAATTACCCCTAAATTTTTTTCGTAAAATTAAAATAACAAAAATTTAATAAAATTTTTTCTTATTTGCTTAGTAAATGCATAGAAATCTTAATTTGGCTTATTGTTAATCATTTCACTCACTTGAAGGAATAAATATTTAATTAATTACTAATTTAATACAATCTTACACAAAATAAAACACCAAATTATTGCCTTTCAGACCTAAAAAAAAAAAAAAAAGGGAAAAGAAAAGACGTTAGATTCTAGATTAATAAACCCAAAAATGGAATAATAAATCAAAAAAACATATTTGGTTTAGATCATTTTAAAAACGTGATTGGTAACACCTGAATTTTTACTATAATGACTAAAATAAGAAATTGGGATTTTACGAAAAATTATGAAATTTGACGAATTTGACGATTTTTTTTTTTACAATTTCGAATGCACAAATCTTCATATGAATACTGGTTTACGAGTTTTTTTATTTGAACAAAAAATAAATTTGTTTACCAATTTTTTAAATTTTTTTTACCAATCATCTTTTTTTTGTATTACAAGTAAATAAATAATAACAAATAAAATTAATTACCAATAAATTTGTCTTTTCCCCTCTTTTAGCCCCTTTTACCCATTTTGATTAACCAAAAAAATATTTATTATATTATGCATTTAAATTTATATTAAAATTGTTATTTATTATTTATTGGTATTTTTTTTATGAAAATTTTCTAAAAATTCCTGAAATTTTAAAAAATTTAAAATTCCTACCGCTTTGGTTTGCGTATTATGTGAGACAGAACAAAAATAGAATGTTGTATGAGTCAAATTTTTCATTTGTTCAATTTTCAGCTGTTATTGTTATTGTTGTTTTTTTTTCAATGAAAAATAAATTAAATATTTATGTCAATTTAGGATTGGCGCAGTAAAGATTACTACCGAATATATCGAATATACTGAATATTAAAATCGGATCTTCCGATAACCGAATCGGAAAATCATTATTGGTGTTAAATACCATAAATGTATTTTTTCTTTGACAAAAATAGACAAAAAAAAAAAAACTTTTTAAAAAAAAAAAAGAAAAAAAAAATTTTTTAAAGGAGTCAATGCTTTTTAATTAATGCACGAGTTTTATTTCAATGCACAAGTTAAATCACGTGTAATACGGAGTACTGACGTAAAAATCCAATTGCCGATCGGGATCGGTACCGGTGTGATTTAAACCCGGAAAAAACAAAATAACTTACTAATTTTGTAAACACTCCGATTACTAATATGGGATATAATCAATATTACAAATCTATCATAAAAAAAAATACATAATAACTAATAATTTATAAATTTCCTAATTTAAAAATTTTTCTAATTTAAAAATTTTCCTAATTTAAATAATTCTTTCATAATTTAAGCTTAAAAAATAAATCTTACCCTTACTAACTAAATATATAATGTACGACAACTAATAACTTTATATCATCATCATAACAACGAAGATCTTAGGTATAATATAATTAAAATGTAATAAAATGCATATAATGCATATATAAATATTTGTTTATATAATATTACATTAAACTGCGTAATTTTAATAAAAAGAAGAGCCATTAAACAACTGTTGTGCATATTGTTGGCGTTGAAAAAGTAGGATATTTTGATTGTTGTTTTGATGGTTATTTTGATGGTTATTCTGATTATTATTCTGATTATTATTTTGATTATTATTTTGATTATTATTATTTGGATTATTTGAAATTAAATTTCTGGCTTGTCTTTGCCGTCGCCGACGTTGTAAAACATCATTAATACGAATAGAAGAACGAATATTTGAATGAAAGTCTCGTGCTAACGACATTTTTATTTGTTTTTAATTATTATTATTATTATTATTATTTTCCTGATGAATTTTGAAACAGGTAAAAAAATTGTCGTATTTATATAAAAAAAAAAGGTTAATGTAATTAATTTTCACATATTGAATACTTTACTGCTAAAGATGATGACTGATAACTTTTGTTTTGTTTATATTTACCAGTAAATAGTTTAAAAATAAATTTATTTAAAATCTAAAAATAAAAAAAAAAGAAAAGAAAAGAAGAAAAATTCAAAAAAATTTTGGTGGTTATTCCTTATTTTTTTTTGTTTATGTTGCGGCTAATAATTTTATTGTATTAGATCAAAATTTCGGTAAAACTATTTGAATATTTTGCAATATATGTATATATATGTACATGTATCAAAAGAATTCTTGATGATAAATGACACCTGGCCGGCTGGCCCGCATTAATAAATTCTGGCCGAAAATTTTGTATAACTTTGGCCGGCATTATGAAAAAAAAGGGTGCTTAATTATAATTATAGCAAACTCGGTATAATAAATATTCTTTTTACAAAATCGAAATATAAAAACTTTTTTCTCTTTTATACATATCCGTAAATAAACAAATCTGTGATTGGTTCTCATATAAGGTTTTTTTTCGAGAAAAGTGTTCGATTTATGTACGCTTGTGTACCGTCATCTTTTTTAAAAAATCAACAAACAAAAATAGCTAATTTTTAAAAATAGGTTTCATTCAAGCAAAAAATAACCTCGTTTTTTTTTTAAAAAAAAAAATATATATAAATTTAGATCAATCGAGATCTTTACTTCTCGAACGATAACCACTTTTAAGTTTCATTTATAGGTAATTTATTCAAAATCTTATTTTAAAGTTGAATGAATGTCGATCTTTACGACGCACATTTTCGATAAGATAACACACGAGTACATGAGTGCATGACCATATGTAAATAATACATCATTAAATTTTTTTTTTTTTTTTTTTTCGTGGATTTTAATTAATGTTTGAATTATTGCTTTTATTTTATTGTGGCAGACTGGCAGTTGCGCAGTAAAAAAAAAATTTTTTTTACTAAAATTCGCCCACTTTACGTAATATAACACGTATTGTCAAAATAGTATTAGAAGTCGACCGAAGTTGATTCATTGTAACAAAAGATATAAAAGAACAAAAAAGATATATTAAAATTTGATATAATAAATATATAAAGTGAGCAGGTATACAATGATGTAAGATTCGTATAGATAATAAATACTTTAATCATAATTTTAATTTTTAACAATGTTTCATTCTCGAATATAACAAATTGTTCTAAATATAAAATGAAATTTTTTTTTTTGGATCAAAATATTATTCTTATGTAGATCAATAATCTATATATAAAATCTATTTTTAATTCCTTCTAAAAATAACAAAAGCAAATCAAACTTTTCCAGTTAATTTCAAAAAAGAATCGGAAATATATTTTATTGGATAACTTGCGTTACATATACACTAAACATTTTGTTATTTTATAATATATCATTATATTTTTTATTCTAATATGTTGTTACATATGACAAAGATCTTCCCAAAATTTATTCAAATCAAAATTTGATGTTCCTTTTTCGAATCCCATTAAAATTGACCACAAATATCCTTTTATATAATAAATAATTTCTCCGCATTTTTTTTTTTGTTAACATGGATATCAATTGTTTACTTTTTGGTTTAAACTATTAAATAATTCATCTTTTGTACAAAATTCATTCAAGTATTCAAATAAATATATTTTTATCAAGCTTAAAATAAATCAAATCTTAATTTTTATCTAAAAAAAAAAATATATCTATATTATTCGCAATTTTTTTGATGAAAAGAAATATTTTAACTCATAATTTTTTGTTTCGGAAATTTATTCCATAATGCGAGCCAATGAGTTATACTAATCACGTGACACACCGAATTTTTTCTAGAAAAATCTATAAACCAATCTTACATCCTCTATATGTAGTTAACCATATTAACATTGACTCTTCTACAATAAATCTTACAAAAAAAATCATAAAAAAAATATTTAAACCTATGTATATATAAAAAGATAAATAATGATATTATATTTATATTTATAACCTAAAAAAGATATTTTACAAATATTTAAAAAAAAATCATAATACATAATATACATAATAATAATAATCTACAATAACAAAAAATATGATAGAATTCTATGGAAGGATTGGAAGGTGTAATCATACAACAACAAAGAAATCACCGATCAACGTCGTACCACACATCCCCCTTTTTTTTTTTTATGATTAGATCACGTGACATTAGACCAATTAATTAGGTTTCATCATCTTTTGATTTTGCCTCTTCTTGCGTGGATGATACATGTCGTTTTGTAACAGATAGAAGAAGAAGATTGTTGGTACCTCTGTATAATCTAATTATTCTGCGCTCCTCTCTCTCCTTTTTCAACTTGTTTTTTTTATCAATGCTTTTGTTATTGGGCATCGTTTTTATTTAATTTTATTTTATTTTTTGTTTTTTTTTAATTTTTTGTTTTTTTTGGAAAATGTTTATATATATATATATATATATATATATGATAAATTTTGGATTTTTTTTTTATTTTTTAGGTGTATAGGGGGCTATATTTATACTTTTTTTTGATTATGTAAAAATAAAAAAAGCGTTCCGTTTCTTCCGTAATTGATATCATGCCAGATACAATTATGTAATAGATTCACATGTTTAAAAATAGTATACTAATAAGAAACGAATAAAAGAACTGAATCCCGGAAAACAGATCATTTCTTCCGTGTTTGTTGATTTAGATCATTATGATTTGCACCCAGCGTAACCTGAAAAAAAATGTCACGAAAAATCACGTGACATTTTCATCACCGGAGTCACACCCTTCCTTGTTTGCATTTTTCATAAGTATCTGGGGGACTTAGAAATTTTTAGTAACAAAATCCTACTCGTCACGCACTATCCGTCACTTAGTTGCGTAATGCCGGCCATTTCGTGACTTTTTTTTTCGTTATCAATTATTATCTGATTCTAGAAGAAAAAAAAAATTTTTTATATGAAAAAATTTTTTTTCCTTTTTTCTTTCTTTTTTTTTTCTAACAAAGAACCAAATATTTATTTTTTTTTCAAAGGAATAAATCGGATACCTATTTTTAGTACTCTCTCCTAAAAAGTCTAAAAAATAATTAAAATCCCGGGAAAAAACATTACTTATTCCGCATTGCCAGAACAAAATTACTCGAATTTAATATTGTTAATATTTGTTTTGTTTAGTTCCGTAGTAGTGTTCCCGTTGTCAAAAAATTATTAATCATAATGGGTCTTAATAAAAAAGGTTAAAGAATTTTAGAATTTTACCTAATAAAAATTTCAGTGTAACTGATGTATCACACGTAACACATTACTGACATTAGTGATTAGTGTGAAAACTGTGAATATGACGTTTTGAGGTCATCTGGTTCATGGCTGTTTTTTTTCTTCTTTTTTTTCTTTTTCTTTCTTTTTTTTTTTTCTTGATTATTTAAAATCTGAGGATTGAAAAAAAAAATCATTTCCTAAAAAGATTATCAATTGCCAAATTAGTAACGATAAAGATTTCTTTTCTCGTTATTTGGCTTTCCAACATTGTCTTATTTCGTTACGGATAAATGTTAAGATAAATTTGTTAAGTATAAGTTAATACAGTACGTAAACTTGGGAGATGACACGGAATTTGCAGTTGGTGTAACAGTAATGGCTAAATATACATTTGATATTAAAAATATAAGTACTTAGTATCGCGTGTTCACGAACTTTAATAAACTCTCCAATTTCATCGTACCGATTATACACCCTCGCGGTTTCGCGACCTCTTTAGTTTTTGTTTGGCAGAATAACTGCCTTGTTTCTAATTCACGTTTACAAAATGGTAAGATGGCTCCCGTTGGGTCGCGTAAATTTCGGCCTTAAATTAAGATTGCTACGGCCAATCTACATTGTCGTTAAATGACTAAAAATAATATTTTCTATATAGTTAATAATTACTTGATATATAAATTAATAACTAATTATTTTTTAATGTTTTTTTTTTAGGTCAATAATTGGAATTATATAGTATGATTATTTGGATCATTGGGTATTTGTCAATTGTTTATATCAATTTTAATCCGCAATAATGGGACAAAGACGCGATCGTTATGAAAGATTATTTAGCAAATGCAAAGCAGAACTAAAAGTCAGTTATTAGACATGGTCATTGTCTAATAATGAATGCACTTTGTTCATGATTATATGGGTTATGTTAAAGTAAATTTCAATGGAGTAATAATTCCTTGATGAGATTTAAAACGTGAAACCCTACCCACAAATATTAAAATTCATTATAAGTATCATCTACCCCATATGTGAATAAGGATTTGTGATTGATCTTTGTGATGAGAATGGCAATATAATGGTTTTATGGAACATTTCTTATTGTGAAGAATAACATAAAGAAGTGTGGTTAATTCTTTATTAAAAAATTGAGTACAATGCTTGCTTATAAAAAAAATTCAATAAAACAAATTCTTTGTATCAACTTTTGAAAAAGTATTTCTATTCTTAGTTCTTTAGGTAAAAACATCTTTTATCTATAAAGGTTATTATGTATCTAAACTAAAATTTATGTCAAATTTTATAAAAGTAAAAATAAAATAAAGAATTAACCAAAATCACAAAATAGGTATTAAGATAGCCAGCAATAAATTTGATTCAAAGTATATGGTACAGTGTTTTAACAGAAAATATTAAATAAAACATAATTGTAATAGTGTAATGAGTTATTTAACTTTAAAAAATTTGGTATATATTATAGTATATATATATTATATTTGCAATATAATAATATAATTCAGTTTCTCATCTGCTGACAGCTTTAAGGCCACATAAGTAATTGTCTTGGCCCTGAGAAAAACACTACAAATAATAATTTAATTCAATATTAAATAAAAATTTTTTAAAAATATATAGTAATTTATTTTAAATAATATATTAATAAGTTTTTAAGTTTTTATTTTGTATATATTTTTAATTATTTAATTTGTAATGTTTTTAGTTACTTTGATTTTCATTTATTATAATTATTTTTTTTTTTTTTTTCAAAAAATTTGAAAAAGTATATTTTCAAAATATTATATATAAATACCAGTATTGAGAATTTTTTTATTAATATATTCCATTTTAAGACTTGGCAAAAATACTATATAAATTTCCTGCCATTTGCATTTATTTTTTGTGTACCAGGTTTGTGGCGCAACAAAATCATAAAAAAAAAAAAAAATAAATTATCATTAAAAGTTACTAGCTAGGTGTAATTTTGACTGTTCTTCAAGTTTACCTAGAGCGACAAAGGCGGTTTTAAATATCGTTATCGACTTATTTGACAAAAAAGATGGTAAAAATCAATCAAAGTCAAAATCGACATTCAAAACCTTCTTCCGAATCCTAAGTAAACTTGCAGAGCAGGTGAAATTACAACTACATTGTAAGTTTAAAAGCTTTTATGCCAAAGAAAAAATATCCTTAATGCCCCTTTTTTTGAAAATTGCCACGCCACGAACCTGGCACAAAAAAAAGTGGTGCTAAAAAGTTAATTAATTATTTCTTTAAAAAAAACAAACATTATATTATTAATTACCGATTTTGGAAAGGATGCAGGATACTTTTTTTGCCCACAATGAAAATTTGCTTATTCTTTCATATCAGTTATAAAATATCTTACATAACTAATTATTACTTAATTATTAAAAATAAAAATACTATTCCAAAATTTCTCACGGACCCCCTGTAATCCCGTAATCTTACATGTTAAGATGTGCATAAAAATTTAGCTCCTTCCCTCCCAATATTTCTGAATTTTTGTTAAAAATGTCCAAAGAAAATACACAAGTTCTATTTTCAAAACGTCCTTTTGGTGCCTTTGACCCAAAAGAAACTTTTACTATTGTAAAAAATCCAATACCTACTCTGGCTGATTTAAAAGATGGACAACTATTAGTTAAAGCTTATTACCTTTCATTGGATCCAGGTATAGAATTGCTTTTTGCTTTTATTTTGATTGATATGAATGATATTTATTTAAATTTATCTATTAGCCATGCGCGGATGGATGAATGCTACTAGAAGGTAATTGTGTTTTTTTTTAAAGAATAAATTTCATGGTTAATCTAATCGAATTAAAATCGAAAATTAATATTTTTCTTTATAATAGCTATATAAGACCAGTAGGTAAATAAAAAAAAATTTCTTTTTTTATCAAGTCACAATAAAACAAATAAATAGACATTGAATTTTATATTATTTTATATAGAAATAAACGAAATTATGCGCGGTCAAATTGTTGGAGGTAAATTCATTATATTTTCATTGTACATTTAATTCAAACATAAATAATTTAATATATATATATTATATGTTTCTTTTCATTAAAGAGGTCGTCTTATCTAAAAACCCTAAATTTAAAGTCGGCGATAAAGTTCAAGGGTTTTTAGGTAAATATTGGAATTTAATTTTGAACTCTCATTTATAATCAAATTCATAAAATTAATTAATAAAAATTCAGGATGGCAAGAATATGCTTTAACCAATGGTCAAGATATTGAAAAAATCACGTAAGTATATAAGTATTTATAATAGTTATTGACAACATCGGTTCTAATCGACTGAACGATAACAATTCGCTATATTTTATTCACGTATTAACTTGCTTATGAATATTTAGTCCACCACCTGGTGCATCACTTCGTGATTACGTTGGAATTTTTGGTGGAACTGGCATGACCGCTTACTTCGGTTTACTTGACGGTAAGTGAACGTGCTTTCAAGTGGTAAAAACGCGTGATTTAATTATTGATCATGTGACTTCATATGTTATACGCGAATTACGTTTTCTATTCAAATAATTTTGCGGATAAAGTTGGTAAGTAATCCAATTATTTGTTAATTTTATTTATTAATTTTATTTTTTTAATACGAAATTTAACATGAATTCATGTAGGTAAACCAAAGCCAGGGGATACAGTTGTCGTTTCCGGGGTAAATAGAACTTCCCATCGACCTTTGCTCGAAACTTGCTTTTTCTTACTTCCTTTTTTTTATTTAACAGGCAGCAGGAGCAACAGGTAGTACGGTAGGTCAAATCGCAAAAATAAAGGGGGCACGCGTAATTGGAATTGCGGGTTCCGAAGAAAAATGTAATTGGTTAGTGAATGATTTGGGATTTGATATAGCATTAAATTATCGTGATCCAGAGTTTGCAAGTAAACTAGCCAAAGCTACACCACAATATATTGATATTTATTTTGATAATGTTGGTGGTGATATATTGGATCATTGTTTAAAAAGAATTGCCAAAAACGGTAGAATTGTATTATGTGGTGCTATTAGTCAATATAATGAAAAACAACCTAAAGGTCCTGCTTTTTATACTGCTCTCATTACCCAACGTGCTAAAATGGAAGGTTTTATTATGTAAGTGTAGATAATGACTTTATATTATTGTTTTAGTATAATATCTTTGATTATTATTAATCTTCTTCTCTTTCTCTTCTTTTAATATCCAGTTTTGATTACGCTCAAAAATTCCCTATAGCAATTAAAGATATGGCAAAATGGTTACAAGAAGGAAAAATCAAAAGAAAAGAATATATTATTGATGGATTAGAAAATGCTCCAAATGGTTTATTGAAATTATTTAATGGTTATAATACTGGTAAAATGTTGGTCAAAGTTAATGATGAAAATGTAAAAAGTAAACTTTGATTTCTTAATGTATGAATTTTTGATGTATTTATTAAAACTTAAAGGAATATATTTTATTTAAAGTCTATATTTTTAAAAATCTATTTGATTTCCATACATGATACTTAATATTTCTTCAGTAAAATTATGAAACATTTCATCATTCTTTCTTCCATTATTCAACATCTCTTCAATATTACGATTATTATTTCTTGCAGCATGATCAATCTGAAGAATTATTTCTCTTAAATAATCATCCTTTAAAAATTCTCGAATTTTTTCTGATTTTTCTAATGAATAAATCAAAAAAATTTTCAATCAAGTTTCAACGAAAAAAAAAAACATTATTATATTATCATTTTGTCTTACCTAGTAATTCTAATTGTTCTGGATTTAATCCTATATCATCATCTCTATAATTCAACTCGGGAACCGTTCCAACATTATCATCTAATTCTGATGAATTCATTTCTGTATCAAAGTTTATATCATTATCTGTGTCACTACTATCTGTTTCGATGTTTATATCAATACTAGCTTCAATATTAGCATTAGATGAATTTCTTATATTTACGTCCATTTCTGAACTATTATCCAAATTTAAATTATCCAAATTTAAATCATTATCGCCATCTTCACTAGAATCCGAACCGTCACTATCGGAATCTTCGCTTGAACCTGATTCGTCATCTTGAACATCTTCACTCGAGTCTGTTCCTTTGTTAATAATTTTTTTGTTTACGATTCTGCTTACATTCACCTCCTCGCTTTCCGATTCTTCACTCATGTCTGTCCCTTCACTACTATTATTATTATCATTTGTGTTTGCATCTTCGTTATCAGAATCTTCGCTAACATCCGACTCCTCACTAGCAACTATTTCTTCACTACTTTTATCATCATCACTTGTGCTTGTATCTTCGCTATCCGAATCTGACCCTTCGTTACTATCAGTTTCTCTATTCATATCTTCACTATTAACAACTTTTCCCACGTTGTTCCAATTTATATTTGTCTTTTTGCCGTTATTAACTTTAGCTTTCAAATCAATAAGCGATTTCTCACTATCGGTATTATAAGTCGACGGAATAATCATAATTTTTGGGTAATTCTTCTAAAATTTCACAAATAGTTCTGAATAAAGGTCTATACTTCTCATAAAAATGCGAAATTAAAAAAAAAATCAGTTTATTGATTATCTCATTATTTCACGTGATGATGTGAAAAATCATGTCGATCAAAATTAATAGGCTAAGTGAATAGGGTTATCAATAAACCCGTAGATTTTGAAATTATTTCGCGGGGTGTGAAAACATTTGTGGGAGTGATACATAAAATAGACTATATATTGTGGTATATGAATATTATCTATCACTTATGCTATATATAACTCACTCCATGATAATTGATAAACAACACATCACTATCTAGAGTGAGTCACATCAAAGCCCCAGTATATGATTTCTATTCAAACGAAAAGATATTCATTTAACCTTAAAAAAAACTTTCCCTTCGAGTTTAAGACTCTCACTCAACAATTTTTTCGTGTCAAATTATATTCAAGTATGGCCACATTCAATCGTACTACATTAGAAGAAGTATTGAAGAAACGTTTTTTTTATACACCTTCTTTCCAAATTTATGGTGGTAAGTTATTTTTATCAAAATTTTTAACGTCAGCAATTATTACCATTTTCATATTAAGTTTTCTTATTAAATTTTAATTTTCCAAGCTGTTGCCGGTTTTTATGACTATGGTCCTCCAGGCTGTGCGCTTCAAGCAAATATCATTGATTTATGGCGCAGGCATTTTATATTAGAGGAAGATATGCTTGAAATGGATGGTAGCATTATGACGCCGGCTGAGGTATTAAAAACTTCCGGTCATGTTGATAAATTTACAGACTGGATGGTTAAAGACTCATTGAAAACTAGTGATATATATCGTGCTGATCACCTTATTAAACAAGAACTAGAAACTAGATTAGAAGGTGATAAGCAAGCTAGAGCTAAATTAGATGGTAACGTTCAATCAGAGAAGAGCAAAAAGAAGAATGATAAGTCTCAGATGGTAAAATTGGAAGATTCTGTTAAGGCGGAATATGAAGATATTATAACACGGGTAAATTAGTTTTTAATTTCGGTTTATTGGGACATTATATATAATGTGCTTACGGGAATATTCCTTTAGATCAGCAATTATAATGGTGTTGAAATTGGAGAAGTCATACGTAAATATAATATAAAGAGTCCTGAGACTGGTAATGATCTAACCGAACCCGAGGAATTTAATTTGATGTTTGAAAGTAGTATTGGTCCTACTGGACATCAAAAAGGGTAAATTTAATTAAAACGAGTTTATTTATAAATATATTTGTTACTAAAGTTACTGTGCTTCTACGCGTTTTTATGAATAAGATATCTTCGACCAGAAACGGCTCAAGGTCAATTTTTAAATTTTAAAAGATTTCTTGAATTCAATAATGACAAGATGCCGTTCGCGTCAGCTTCAATTGGTCGTTCATTTAGAAATGAGATTAGTCCAAGATCTGGCCTTATCAGAGTCAGGTAATCGGTCGTATCATCATTTTCATTTTTTTAAGCTTTTAAAGTGTTTTTTTTTTTTTTTATTTACTTTATTTTATTTCAGAGAATTTACTATGGCTGAAATTGAACATTATGTGGATCCTAACAATAAGACTCATTCTCGTTTTAATGAGGTGAAAGATATAAAACTTCGTCTCGTTCCTCGATCTGTACAATCAGAAGGTAAAATGGATCCTATCGAAATGGCTATCGGCGAAGCTGTAGAAAAAGTTAGTTTATTTAGATATTAACGTATAAATTATTAATATTTTTTCTAAAGAAAGGGTTTATTTTAATTTAGAAAATTGTAGATAACGAAACTCTTGGCTATTTCTTAGCCAGGACATACTTGTTTTTGACTAAACTCGGAATTAAGCCAGATAGGCTTCGATTCCGTCAACATATGCCTAATGAAATGGCTCATTATGCATGTGATTGTTGGGATGCAGACATTCATAATAGCTATGTTAGTTATCCATTTTGTTAACTTGCTAGATTTGCAATTATTTTTTCTCTGATTTCTTATTTTTAATACGTCAATTTTTAAAATTATTAGGGATGGATTGAATGCGTTGGTTGTGCTGATAGATCAGCATATGACTTAACAGTTCACTCAAATCGTACCAAGGAAAAACTTGTAGTACGAGAGAATTTAGCCGAACCAATGATTTATGATAAAACCGTGTTAGAAATTAATAAAAAAGTCTTTGGACCTAAATTAAGACAAAACTCAAAAACTGTAGAGGATTATTTGACTAGCTTAAATGAAGAACAACTTGAGGCCTTGAAAAAAGCTTTAGAAGATGGAAATGGGTAATTTTATTTGATATTCTATATTAAATATACATATATACATATCTTTTTGTATGTATTTGAATATTTATTTGTTTTAATCATTTAAAATAATTAAAATTTAGTACTACAAAAGTTCCTGGCACCGACGGAAATCAATATGAAATTACAAGTGAATATTTAACAATTAAACGTCAAACTTTCACAGAACATGGTAAATTAATTTTTTAACGTGTTAATATTATAACATTCATGATCTAACTACTTATTTGATAAACAATATTAGTCAGGGAATATACTCCTAATGTAATAGAGCCTTCTTTTGGTATTGGTCGTATTTTATATTCTTTAATTGAACACGTATATTGGACACGTAAAGACGATGAACAGAGATCAGTAAGAATAGAAATTGATAAACAATTACGTAATTACGTTATTTGTTATTTTTTATCACTAACATATAATTCATGGATAGGTTTTATCGTTCCCTCCGCGTGTTGCTCCTTTCAAATGTTTATTAGTCCCACTAAGTAATAATCCAGCTTTTACAGACCTTGTTGACGAGCTCGGTAAACATATAAAATACCTTATATCATCATTAATTATTATTTTATAAGTCTTGAAATATTAATATATTATTATTAAAATCAAAAGCTAAACGGATTCGCAAGCTAAGTATTGCAATTAAAGTTGATGACTCCTCTAACTCTATCGGACGTCGTTACGCACGTAACGATGAACTTGGAACACCATTCGCGATTACAATAGATTTCCAATCCGTGAATGATCGCACAATAACGTTACGAGAACGAGATAGCACAAAACAAATAAGAGAAAATGTACAGTATATACTTTTTTAGTTAATTAATAATTCTTTTTAATGCTCAAAAAAATCTTAATAATTATTCATTTAATAGATTGATACCATACTCCAAGTTCTAAAGGATTTATTGGAAGAAAGTACCACTTGGGAAAAAGTTATGGAAACATATCCAACTTTCACGCAGCAAGAACTCGACTGATGATTAAATATTAATAAATCAAGTTTATATTTAATGATTATCAATGTACATTTTTTATCGGCCAATCGGATTTTTTCATGATTATTATAAATTATGCATCAGGCATATATCAGTTCAAAAAAAAAAATGTATACCGGTCTTAGAAATTCTACACTTTCTCTTTCTTCTTTATTTATTAAACAAAATAAACAAAATGTATTTCTTAAAAGAGTTCAAACCCAAATGCGATTTTCTAAAGTGACTTCTGGTTGGTTTGCTTATTTTTTTTAACAATACTCGTGTATCTATTTGTAAATTCTTATTAAATGAATTTTAAGATCACTTTCAGTTTATACCTTCGAAAGATACAAAAAATTCAAAATATATGGAAAAATATTATGATAAATTAAAAATCAAAGCTGAAAAGTATAAATCATTATTTTTTTTGCGAAACTTATTTAAATACAACAAAATTGATTTTCTTTGTATCGCAATTTAAAAGGGAGAATTTTTCTTCTGTGGAAGAAATGAAAGCTGAAAGATTAAAAGCAATTCAAAAGAATTCATTTTTTGTACCAAAAAAAATTTCATCAACCGAAAGTGAAACGAATTCATCACAGAAAAAAAATTATACAGAAGCTACAATGAATCCACCACCAAATGTCAAAGTAAGATAATAATTATAACATTATCCCTATTGTTATTTTTTTTTTTATGGCGATATGTTAAATCTATTGAATTTTAGACTCTTGACAAGATATTAAATATGGAAAAGATAAAAGATCATGATTCTGAAACAATCGAAAAAATATGGTTAGAATATCATTCTACAAAAAATTGTTTGTCTGCCGTTATTCCTGCTGAAACTTATAGAACCTTATTTAAACGCGGACAACAATATCCTATGGTAATTTTTTACTTTTAATTCTAATAATTTTTATGAATTAATGATTATTAACATTATTATTTTTTATTATAAAAAATAATCAGTTTGTTGTTCCTTTACCTCAAGAGCATGGATTAGAATTTTATATTCTTCAATTTCAATTCCATCAATGTTTTTTCACTTCTTTATTAGAATATAAAACTCATGGTATTGAATCAAAACATCATATGGTATTAACTCATTTTCCTGAACTTATGGATTTTAAAGGAATTGTTTTAATGCATGGTGAAATTATTCAACCAAAATTAATTTCTTTAAAATCTGCTCAATATCTTGCTTATGCGATGCAAAAATTTTATGTTAGTGGAACAAATGATGAATTAAATTTAGTTGAAAAATTTCATAAATATCCTGATAAATTTGAATATAAGGATTTAATAAAAAATTTATAAAAATTAGATTGGAAATTTATTTAATAAATTTAAAAAGGTTTATTAGAAATAACAATAAAATTCTATTTATTATACTGATATTAAATAAATAAATTACATTTGTTTATATATTATTAAATCTATTTAATAATTATATTAATTACTAGTAAAAAGTAAATCTAAATAGAAATTTATGGATAAGATTCCAAATATCTTTAATATAATTCACATTGAAGTTTTTAGCCAGAATTGCATATTATAGAAATATTTTTTAAAATTTTATTATTTGGATTCATCTTGATAAAAGAAATCTAATGTTAGTAAAATTGTATTTCTAATATCAATATTGATTTTACTATATATTATTTGCCCAGTAAATAGTTTTTGTATAAATTTATACCAAACAGGCTTATTGGCTTGAAATTAGCTCAAATTTATGCAAAAAATAATCCAAATTTAAGCCAATCTAGAGCCAATTATATATGGATGAGCCCAATTGGTACAAATTTATACAAAAACTATTTACTAGGTTGTAAGTTAAATAAAAGATGTTTTGGAATCCTTTATAAATCTATATAAAAAATTTAAATGCACTTTTTACTTCTTATAAAATGAAATATTAAATTATATATATTACCAATTATTTACAAATAAAATACTTTACTTTATACTTAAATTCATTTTAAAAATTTATTAATAGGAATTTTTGTAGAATTTATTTTTCTATTATTTATTACTTTAAAAGTTAGATTAAGTAAAGTTAATTTTTTATATATTAAGTAAGCAATTTTTTAAATTAATTATAATTTAAACTGTAATTATTTTATGTAAACTTTATTGTAATATTATTAAAAGATCTTACATCACTAGTCAAAAACTAATATATCGGGTAGCAGATATATATCAGATATACATCTGATATGTGTAGTAAAAATGCAGAAAATCAGGTACCTGATATGTTTAAAATATGTGTAAATAGGACCCCTCCTACTACTAAGATATGTTACTGGTAGAAATTTCACTTTCATATAAAACCTTATCTTAGGATTTGCTTAAATTTTATTGGTTAATTAACTAAAAAGGAAAAAAATCATAATAATGTAACAGAAAATTTCCTTTTATACACTGGTCAAAAACTAATATATCGGGTAGCAGATATGTATCAGATACAGTCAACTCTTGTTATAACGAACCCTAGGTTCCAGACCTCAACTTCGCTATAGGGCTATAGTGAAGATTTTAAGAGATTTGATTGGTTAATTCATTATAGCAAGGGGAAATTTATTATAGTTGTCTGAAAAATTCACTATATCAAGA